TTAGCTATTCGGTGCGATCTCATCAATCGTTGTATGCGTTCTAATGTGGGGTCTGCTTCTTCTGTTGGTGGAGAGTAGATTGAAACCAGAACCACTGTTAGATTTAGTACCTCTAATAGTATTGCTACAAAGTCCCTTTCGGCTGCTATCATTAATGGTGACCATTTGGGGTTGCAGTTTGCTATAAATGCTCTTGGTGGTTGATCGATATCTTCTTTTTGATAAATGCTCCATTGTAAGGGGAAGCCGACTACTTTACCATTCCTGCAGTATGGTTCTTGACCTAAGATTAGGTCTATTCGTTCCTCTGCAGCGTAGAGAGCTGTCTGCGATGTTGCTGCACGTGCATGCTGTAGGTTGATCTGCAGGCACCTGGTTTCTGATTGTCGTTCCGACTGCATTATGTTAAGTGCATCCTTTGTCGTTGATGGATCTTTCATCTGCTTACTGTTTTCACATAACGAGGTCGTGCAAGCTGGTCTGTCATTAATAATCCGTATTGCTGCGGATTGTATCGACTGCCCGCTGGTAGACTGGGCATTCGGTAGCATAAGTCGGGTGAAAGAAGTTGTATCTTGTGCCCCATCTACAGTTTGAGTCCCCACAGTTAATACATGAGGGCTGCTCAGCTGTGCAACATCTGGTTGGATGCGGGCCGGAGCAGAAGCCGCAGAAGATCTTCTTTGACCTGCATGCGTCTTGACTGTGCCCGAACTGCTGGCAGCGATAGCATCGCCTGATGCCAATGAATTCAGAGATGCCATGGGATTGCCATGCAGTGAAGATGCGTCGGGCTTTGGTTGCGGCGGCAAATCCTTCTGCTGCGCATTCGATAATCCACTTGACTGTCTTTGGTCGCCTTTCTTTAAGTCGGTATAGCGCCTTGTAGAGCTTAGACGATGTTCCCGTTGTTGTACTAAGCTCGGAGATGATCTCCTCCGGCTTGGTGCTCTCAGGAACGTTGTGTATGGCAATCCTCGGTCGTCGTCGTTGGCGTCTCTTGACGTCGACATCTATGTTGGCTTTTTGTATATGCTGTTGCAGTTGGTCAAGTTCCTCTGCTGTCTGGCAGAATACCTCTAATCCTCCTTGTGGCGTAGGTTGGATCTTTTCCACTGTGACTGGGATCTTTGTAAGGGGAACTTTTGCTTGTAGTTCTTTCCTTAGCTCTCCAGTGGGTTTCTTAGTGATGGGCTTGATTATGATGCTAGGTATTCTGGATTTACGCAATACCTCAGCGAACGTCGGAATGGAGGTATTGGACTGCGAAGTCAGAGCTGGTTCGCTATTGAGCTGTTGCACAGGGTGTGTGGAGGCGTGAACTGCTTGACAGCACACAAAGGTAGAAGTATTAGTGCCTGTGTCTTCAGTTACTGGCTTTGGTGCGTATGCTGGTCCTGCAAGTGCTAATTCTTGTAGGACGTCTAAGGACTTTTCCAATTGCTCCCTTAAATCTTGGGTTAATAGGAATTTATTTCTTCGAAACGTTGCAGAGATCTGCCGAATGTTTCCTGCTAGGACGGCTACACGTTCTTCGTGCGATAAGTCCGATGCCAATAAAGCTTCAGGATCTAAAATGCCTTGCGACTGGGTATTCTCTGTGTCGGTCGGTTGAAACGAGGGACGCGACATGTCAGAGCGGATACGTTGATTCTTGAAATGCACTGATTAAAAAGGCCCTTGTTATGTTGGACACTAAGGTATGCAAGGTGGGAGAATGCGTGATGTAAGCACTTAATATCACAGTGTGGCACCACCAGTCATATGCTTAATTTGTGATATCACAGGACATTAAAGTAAGTGAATCGGACAGTGAAGATGCGACATCAAGTGGTGAGGATAGCAAAGTTAGTAAATAAGAAAATGCACTTTGAATGTATGCAGGAATGTAATTTCACAAGTATGATAATAGGTAAATGGGTAATTCAATGCAGAATAACAACAGTATTTATCAATTCAATACAGAAAAGCAGCAGTATATATCTTGACATTCCCAGGAGATACGCCAGAGGCTCGGAAATGAGGGTGGTGAGTACTGATGCGCAAGTCCTACGTTAAGATTGGAAAGTGGGGGAGAATCTACGGAATAATTAGTTAATGTGTTTTAGGGTAAGTCAGGAGGGCGCAGGGGTATAAGAGAAAAGCTGGGTTCTGTTGTGTAGTTTTGAGACTGTTACGAGTGCTGATTAGTGGAAATTAGAAGTGAAAATGAGAGACAAGAGGTTAATTAAACTCATTGAAAAAATATTAATTAGTATAGATATGAGGGGATGGTGGTAGAATGAAGGAGGGAGTTTTTATGTTGGTAAATAGAAGTGGTACGGTGGAGTTACTACTATTAGTTGGGAAGTTGGAAGAGAAATAAAATGCTAATAAGGAGTGATTAAAAATAGGGAGAAAATAAATTTGAAGGGAGGTTCTAAAGTGTAATATTGTTGAAAACCTGAGGCCAAGCTGAGAGAGAGAGACTGAAAGAATTACAAGACTAAGTGTATTAGGAGGGAAGATATAGGAGAAATAAAAAGTAAAAAACGGAAAATAAAAAGGTAAAAAAAATAAAATAAAAAAAAATATTAAAAATGAGGGGAGGGCTTGTAATTTTGAAACTATTGAGTGATAGGTTTTCAGAAAGAGGAGGAAGAGAGGATTAAGACATTTTAGGTTTGGTTAGTATCTGGGGGTTAGGGGCTGTGAAATAGGAGAAATTAAGTGAAATTAAACGAAATTAAAGCTAATGAAAAAGTATTTTTTGAGGGGTAACTAATAGGAGAGATTCAATGAAAGTTATTTATTATTGAAAGGGGAAGACTAGGGGGATCTTTTATTAGAGTTTGGTGTGTCTAGTACTATAATTAAAGAAGGGGGCTTAGGGTAAAAAGTTGAGATTTAGGCTTAGGAACCTCTGGTGATAATAATAACAAAAGTTGTCTATTTACTTTGTCCGACTCCGGACTTAGAAATTTTTGTAAATGCTGTTGCACACTATACAATACATGATAGCAGACACAGTATATAAAAGCAAAAATTTCAATGTGAGATCAATGTTAATAGCAATTAAGTGCAATGCAGAATTTGTCCGACTCCGGACTTAGAAATTTTGTAAATGCTGTTGCACACTATACAATACATGATAGCAGACACAGTATATAAAAGCAAAAATTTCAATGAGAGGTCAATGTTAATAGCAATTAAATACAAGGCAGAAGTTATATCCGAACTACATGGACGGACCCTGCGCAGCTACTGCTGAGATTTTGGCAGGGTTGGCAATATGGCCGTCCTGTTGGGGACTTAGAATTTATCTAGATTGTGCACGGCAGTGAATTAAGACATACAACTATTACAGATGCACATAAAAGAAATATATGACTCTATATATATATACACATAAAAATACAATACTGATTTAAAATCTGTGCAGAAGAAAATTCTAGGATTATTTTAAGCAGAGATATTGGTTTAGGTATTTAGGCAATTTTAGCACTTTGAAAGTATCATACAGTATAACAAATAGCATTAGCGTTACATGTATACTAAATAAACAAAACACAGAATAATGAAAAAGAATTAAAATAAACACATAATCAGATGGAGCATAAAACAAGGTAAAACTTATTTAGATGAGGATTCTACTGTAATTATTAAACAAGATATGAATGTATTAAGAATTACACATTTTAAAGCTGGTAGATTTACCGCTGAATTGAACGAAGAAGTCTATGTCATATTATCAAAATTTGAGATTACACAGTTAGAGGCTATTGAAGTTTTTAGGAGGTAGATTATAAGAACCCTACCTTAATCTTCTTTAGATGGGATTCCTGCGATGATTATATTCCAAGATATTGATTTTTTAAACTTTTAAGCACTTTGTGGCACTGCTGGAAATCACTAGATTCTTATGCCTACTACGATAACCACGTGGTGGCTCCGCGGCACCCTTCCGTCGCAGTGTCGACTTAGTAGGTTGGCACACTCACCGTAAAATTGCTGCTGCCTGTTTTCCCTTGTTGATGGCGCAAAAACACTAGTAACTCAACTAATTCAAATCGCACACACACATATGAGGTATCCAAATGTACAGGGATACTTCGAGCACTATTTAATGTAAGAATTATATTCGTAGGATTAAAATTGCTGCGAAAAAACTCGCTTTTTCGGGAGCACACCAAAAAGACGTCCTACCTCAATTCCGTTTCCCCTCGCCCTCTTGATGCAAGTATATAAGTATGTATGTAATAATAAAAATTTAGTAAAAAAACATTTACGCTGTCGTATCATAATAAAATTAAAAAATAAATTTTCCATGGCGCTTTTATATAGTGGTGGTACATGACATGCTAAAACTATGACCAACGGAATGTGATTGTACAAAGCCTTACCCAGGTCATGGTCACAGCTGACTCTCTTAAATGAAAGGAAGCATATTATTAATATACCTTAAGGGCACAAAAGGGCATATGCTATCACTGCTTGTATCCTTAGTCCCTCTTTTATAACCTTAAAATAGTAATATTATAGTCTCACACCTTTTTGGAAGTATAAATTGTAGACCCTACGTAGAAGACGAAGTAACGAATTTTTGCTATGGCTTTGATGACCAGAACTACAGAGGAAGGTTTAAATAATCTTTTTATTTGAACAAATGGAAAAATTTTAAATTATCTATCTCGGTGGAACCTCCAATTTTATAAGGCTGTAGCATATTTTGCAGTATTTAACGAAAAAAAAAGATGAGCTTCTTAGTAAAACATAAATTTTATTCTCAGTTCGCATCACACTCTAGCTTACTTTTACTAGTTCTTTCTTGATAAATTTTCAATCATGTACTACTGGTAAAACTTTTAGAATAATAATTTTAAAAACATTTCTGACGTTGCTCAGCAACGGATACACGATACAAATATGGCGTTGCCACTCCAATATTAAGAATAATAAATATAATTATTTGTTAAATAATAAATATTGCAACCAAGTAACAAGATGCACGCACTCGGTGCTCACAATTCGCCACCACTTGTGGCTAATCTAAATTGAACAGAGAATAAAAAAAATGTAAGTTCACAATAACTTAGGATGGGTAACGACGGGCTTCTTAATTATCTAAAACGCACAGCAAAACCGAGCCTAGAATATCAGTATAATCCGAAGGGTGTCTAACACCAACTAGAGAGCTAATTTCAAACACGCAGCATAAACTCAGAACTAACTCCGCTACTAATTCTTGCGAACTCTTGAAACCGCAGCTTAAATACTGCTTCTGAACACAGTTTTTGCATACTACGTCATTAAAATCTGGATTCCGGAAAACTGAAATCAGGAGGGAAAAGAAAGTTAAACAAAAAATAATTGGCTAGAAAAAATAAGGTCTTTACAATATGTTTATAATAAACCTTTACGAAATGTGTCATTTTAAAACCAATTTCTGTCATATGATTCTTATTTAACACCAGTGACGGAAGTACTTATTTAATGACAAAAGTGAAAGTAAAACCTTTTACGAAATTAAATTAAATTATATCGTAACTTTATCTGAACCAGCAACAGTAAAGCGATACGGTATCCCTATATTGCGAAATTAACTAATTTTCATGATTCTAACTTCATAATTTTTGCCCTTCTTAAGCTTGCCTCCGTAGAGCCGATCGCTTGTTTATCGCTTCTCTTTATCATCGATTGTAATGATATGAAAATGTTAACTTGCGCTGATAATTAAGAATACTGGAAGTGGATGTTGCTTCAGTTTGGCTATGAATGTTTTCAAGAACGTTAAGCCAATACAAGTAATGGCTGCATCTTGTTAAGCCAAATAAGTAATGGCTGCATCTTCATTGTAATACATCTTGCTTCCATTATCGTTGTTACCTCCTACGTTAACATCCCAATATAGAATTTGTATAACAACATGTATTTTATTGCAATAAATAACTACTACAAATGCAGAAATGCATAGGAAACAGATTAAGACTAGAATAATGAGTAATAGAAGATTGTGATTTCATTTATTTCTTTTATTACTTTCGAAGATTATTTAAGATTATAAGCATTATGTGTTTTGAAAAAAACACAGGGGGAAAAAAGTAATCGAGCAATGCAGAGGAAAGCAAACGATGAGTGCCAAGTCGATGAAATCATATAAAATAATTTTGTTAATCATTGCTATTCTTTTTTTACGGATGAGATAAGTAGTAAAACGAGTCATATTATAACTAAATTGAAATAGGTGAACAACTAAATAGAATCTTTCCCAGGAAGACAAGGTTTGTAGGATAGTTACTTTCCTACTACTCTTAAGTTAGAATGGCTAAGGATAGTCTGGAAATTAGAAAATTCACTTTCTCCAACAAGGTGTGGGTCATAAATTACGCATCGATGCTAGAGGCAAAAGAAAATTATCGCATACAAAAAAATAGACACAGTGACAAAACTGACCGGTAACTTTAATACTTGCGACGAGAGAAATGTCCCATAATTTTCAGTGAATCGAAGCTGTTGAAATTGGGCTGCATTGTTGAAGACTTTTCTAGAATGCATACAAGCCTCAGTTGACCATCAAAAAGACAAACATAAGCATTCAAGAATAAAAATTGAAAAGCTGGAATTTTGTTTCCCGTTGCATCATGCTTATCACTGAGCCAAGAGCGTGTCTTTTATTAGGAAACGTTTTGGAATTAAGGTACTCAGAGTACACTTTGAGATAAAAAGTCGAAGAATGAAGTCTACTTTGGACAACATTGCACTTGGAAACCGTGCATCTAATAATTAATGCATACAAAGTTTTGACTATATTCCTACATTACATTTGATAGGAATACATTTTACGTTACATTTTGATATGAATATACTAACATTCCTTAACATTTTTATAGATCAGGTATACTTTTCATTAGCGAAACTTGTCAAACTATCTTCTGTCATCCGAAAAACACTGCTCATTGCTTGAAAATTTCGAGAATGGTTCTTGGAACATTAATAAAGATTGTAGGTTTGGGAATAAAACCAAGATTTTGATACAATCAAGCAATTACAGGATACGTTGAAATATCAGATCTTTCCCGAGACGTCTCGGAACGATAAATTGGAGAGGTGAAAGTTTATATAATAATCCCATTTAGATATCTGCTATGACAAGTACATTTATAAATTTTATTGAGTATAGTCCTCCATGATTATATATTCAGAAATCTTGTAGCTTATGTTCAACGATGATTACATCTTTAGAAATCTTATATTTATTTCTGTTGATCTTATTCACATCTTTAGAAATCTTACATCTATTTCTCTTAATCTTATATCTAATCAGATCTTTAGAAATCTTACATCTATCTCTCTTAATCTTATATCTAATTACATCTTTAGGAATCTTATAATCTTTATTTCTTATATCTCTATCTTTAGAAATCTTATATCTGAGCCATGCTGCGTAAACTTCCATGACACAAGGGGGATGGCACTATATTAAGTAAATGGAATAATGCTTTGCTTTCTTGCAGATGAAAACTGCTGATATTAACCACAAAACATAAATCACTAAATGAATGAAATAGAAAGATGAGCTCAAAGCAATTCAGATGTCAGTTTCAGCTTCATGACATGTGATATCTCATACAGTTGCCTAACTTCATTCCGGAATTGCGTAAAATATTCTTTGTACTTTTGGAAGTAAAATATATTACATTTAAATTTATATGCATGCTTAGACTCCTTCTAAGAGGATCATAGTCTGATTTTGTTAATCATAAAAAGTTATAATATTAAAATTTTGCATTATATTTCACTCAAACATTTGTGCATGTATAGGTATAAATGTGAATAAAAATCTTTTATATCTAAATGAAAACTAAATTTTTCACATACATATGTAAGATGAAATTTTATAAACTTATCTATATGATGAGAATTTTTAATTTATATTATGAAATATTATGTAGGTAGTTTAAAATATAGTGCTTAATATATTAAAATAGCTCATATTTAGAGCTGCGAAATTAAAATATTTATTGTAGTAGGTTCATTGCAACATTCAAATCTAAAAATAAAACTGCAAATATACTTTTATGCAGCTGTTTATAATCGTAGAATATGGAATGAAGTTTGATTATTTCCTGTAAGTATGCGTTACTTTTAGTGCAAAGTACCTTACGTTGATCCTATTACAAAGACTATTGCAAGCGATATCATTTGAAGATGAAATTTTGATATTGCCGGAAAATTCTAAGGGAAAATAATAACAAACTACTACGAGAAATTCGAATTGTAAGAAGCCTTAAGGGAAGTTTCTTTGGAATATCTCTACAGGGTGTCTCAAAAGGTCGTTGCCAAACTTAAGACGATGTTTGTCATACCATGAAAACAAGATTCACACAGGAACTTGCGTCCGAAAATGCGAACCGCGACCGCTAGAGGCCAATGTTCGCAGGCTATGGGAGAGTAGGAAATGTGACTATTTCCAGGTGAGGACGTTGTTGAAGGGTGATGAAGGCTGAATCGGTTTACTAACTCAGTTCACTATAGACATTTTGTGGAAAGCGTGCTGCCGGGTCTGATGGTTGAGATTCCAGCAGATTCACGCAGAAACAACTGGTTGCGCTGAAACATGATGGAGCGCCTGCACATTTTAGCACTGCTATGCGGAATACTTCGATAGGACAAATCCTAATCGTTGGATTGGCAGAGGCGGGCAGTCACACTGTAGAGACATTAGGTTAATTGGAAGCAGTGTGTGTATTTAATTATGGCAAAGCACACTAGGGCTATCTGCCTAAGGGAAGGGATGCCTTCGTGGAGGACTTTCTAAGGGAAACTGGCTCGTATACACGTTACACATGGGGAAAATCACGAAAACACTCATGCAGCCAGCCCGTTCGCGGGATTCGAACCTCGGACCGAACTACCAGTGTTCAGCGACTTTACCGCTCGGCCGCTGGTGAGCCATTAATTGGAAGCAGAAAAGAGGAAAAATAAACAACGCCTTCGCCGGGAATCGAACCACGGACCTCTGGAATACCGGCCCAGCGTGCTATCGTTACACCACAAAGGCATGCTAGGGAAGTGGGAGAAATACCTTATAACATAGCCACGGCGATCTTGAACATCCTCTATGATTTAAGCGTGTTCTTTAAATAAAACTCATATTAACATCTCTTTTGACATCCTTTCTTATTTCCCCTTTACGCTTTAGAACATTGGCTTCTAGCGGTCGCCGTTTTCATTTTCGGCAGTAGTTCCTATGTAAATCTTGTTTGACGTGATATGACACACCAACATTTAGACTTACTTGATGTTCGAAATATCCTTAGCTTAGACTCTGCACTTTTGTCTACGCTGCATTACCATATCAGGGCATTTTATTGCGGCTTGGCAAAATTTTCCATTCCATATAAGGCATAAGATATTTCATGGGTTTTCTATGTAGTATATGATGAATAGCTAATTCTCATAGATTTGACTTTCTATATTACATAAAAAGTTTTATTTATCTTTCAACATCAAACAGTGTACTGCTTAATTAGTTCAACGATATAAAATCAACATACGTATTTGTTAGAAATTTATGTGATATTTCTATTTTTTAGTAATATATTTAGTTGCTATAAATAGGAAGCAAGCCAAATATTATTCTTTACCACGGTACGGAATAATCTTCTGTGAGTAGGCAAACAATAAGTTTTACTTAGTTATATTTACATACGGAGTCTAATAAATCTGAACTTGTTACACATAATCGACTCTAAACACTTGTCGACATAAACGGTTTATGTTGAATTTGAGCCCAGCAGTTGATAAGTAGAAGACAAAAGCTGCTAATTGCGCCACCACCGTCTTCTCGGAGAGCAGCAGAAATAACAAATTTAGGCTGGAAAGGTTCCAGAAAATTTAAGGGAAGAGAGTGTTCTGAAAAGCTACTAATTCCAAGACCATTTTTGTAAATGCTCTAAAACGAAGTGACGGTTTGTAGAAGGATCATTAATATTTTCTTTGCCTTATCGAAAGAGTTCTTAATTTAACGCTTCCAAATTATATGCTATGAATTTCATCAGCCCCACTAAGGGAGCTTAGCTTACCCAGTAGGATGCGTGGGATTCATTTGAGGCCACAGAACTTTGAGGCAACAGACTTTTAAATAATTTTTAATATTTCTCAACTAAAATTTAGCATATGCTGCTATGAAACTGTGAGATTATAAGTATGAAATACGATGCCGGAAAAATTTAAAATGTTTAATGATTTTGTAATGAAATGTATCCTTTCTTATTTTACATATGTAAAGGCTTCTAGTTTACATTGATAGATGACCTAACACTCTCACACTCAGGCTTTACCAAGAGCAAGACGGTTTAGTATGAAACTTTACTTAGCGTATGGATTTACCAGAGAAATCTTCATCCTTAAGGGGACGGTGGACTTTAAAATAGCTAAAGATAAACCAAAATATTGAATTTGTTTTTTTTTCTACTCTCATAATATTCCATATACAAAACTACATCGTATGCAAAAAACCGAGTTCAAATATTCTAATTTTTGAAGAAGTTATAAGCATTTCAAATGTGTAAACAACGTAAACTTTGCCCTTTAAATTTTTGAGAAAATGTAAAAAAAATGTATTTTAGAAGTTATTTATTGATGTAATAATTTATATATTTGCCCAAAAGAAGTGTTTATTTCTAAAAAAAAGGGCTAGAAATGTCAGTATTGACAACTATTAATGAATTAAACTTTTGTGAATGCTATACGCTTAGAACAGGAGGAAACAAACTCGTTTTTCCTACTAGTTGCGAAAAATTGGTTCAACGTCGTTTGAACCAAAGCAAAAGGAAGAGTTTACTTGCTTGGAGAAAAAACAGAAATAGTAAAAAATATTGTAAAGCATTAAAAGATAATGTAAATGTAACAAATGAAGGTAAAACATATGATGCGAGGGAATTTGAAAAGTTTCATTGGATATAATGCATAAATTGTTTCTACCTCTAACTTTGAATCACATACCAATTTACGATATGTTTATTTTTCTCATATTTAATATTATGAGATTAGAAATAGTTAAATGATACGAAAATGCTATCTGGTGTCTACATATTCATATTTAAAGTTAATTTGATGTTTCTCATGACCATGTATTAAAGGCAAGTTTGAAGAAAAACTTTAAATTCGGTTTTCTCAAAACAAAATTTTTCGCAGTTTGCATCTCTTGAAAATGCTCCATGTGCATGATATTTGGAAGAAACTATCTTGTTATATGTTACAGTAGATCTAAGTATGCATTTTTGGCTATGAGGTTATTAAGAAGTTTAAACTTGTGACAATGTTAAACAAAAGGTGACATTTTTCCGATTTTTAAAATTTCTGATCCATCATATTCAATAACGGATACACAAAAACTTTTGTCAAGTCTTTGTAACTAACTAAAAGGAAAAATTAGGAAAAAATATCGAAAATTAGAGCGCAAAGAAATGAGGAATATATTTACCTCCATATTTAAACGTTTTAATTAATTAACATAGTTTTGCAGAAAAAGCAAGAAGAAAACACAAGCATTAAAAAATTGAAAATAAGTAAAATCATTAATTCTATGCAGTTAATTTAAACTTCCGTAGTTAAAGGTCATTATTTCATTAACCTCTTTTTATAAAATTGTACCGGCAGTTTTTCATGAAAAATATAGTCTGTCTAAAAAGTTTAGAAAATGGAAGATGAATAACTACATATTACATATATTAAAATAGTTTAATTTATTGTCAAACTCTAAAATGATTTTCTTTCCCTTTGTAAATCTGATATTCTTTCAGTAAAAATTGAATCTTGTTTTGTTTCAATTTTTTCGTCTTCTTAAAATGTCACCAATATTTTCACGTACAGCATGAAATTAATTGTTTGGATGTTGATACGTTATTTAAGGCGAAGAATGTTAGGGGTTAGTTACGTAATATTTCATTAGGAGACCTGATTTTATTGGATAATGGCAAATCACATTAGGTCTATCTGCCTAAGGGAAGGGATGTCTTTGAGGAGAACTTTCTCACGAACTGGCTCGTATCTGCATTGTATTTTAAGAAAACCATAAAATTCTCATGCAGTCAGTTCATTCGCCGGAACGAATTTGCTACTTTACCTCTCGTAAACTAGTGTTAAAGGCAACTAGTTCATTTTTGCATTAGTCACTGGTGAGATTTAAATTTAAAATTATACCTAGAAAATTTAAACGCAGATTATTTTTTTTTCAGAAATAATATATAATTATTGTGAACTTTCGTGACGACTATCTCTATAAGATAACCAGTAGTTTTAAGAACATATCTCAGAACTACTGATTGTCTTAGAAAAGTAGTCGTCAAGAAACCCTTTTACAACTTACCTTCCTAAGACGAACACCTCTATAAGTGAGCGGTATGGATAGGAAACTTTGGTATTTAATCTCATCTTTCTAAGATCACCAGCTTCATATAAAGATAAATCATTTAGAACAGTAAATAGTCACTTTTGAGAGGATCCTCTATGTTTATTTTAGAATATTATCTTTTTAATTAGCTTTCCGATTTAGATAATTTTCCCCCTTGTTAAACATTTAATTTTTTTATATTTTTACTTAAAAACTTTTGAATTATTTCTTGTTTTTTCTTACTGCATAGTGAATCATCTTAACGCATAGTGAAGTAAAGAGAAATTTGAATTAAATCGTTCTTTTTAACCTTATTAATCAATGAAATTATATATTAATTAAATAAGTATAATATGTATTAATACATATATGCAAAAGAGGTAGAGGGCTTTACCAAAACGCAAAGAAGGAGCAGATATCAAAAATCTTGTAGGTTTGTGACTCTTGTTCAAAAGTTTCCGAAATGATCGTATCAAGGTTTCAGATAACTCTAGAGAAGACTTCGAAAAGAGTGGAAATTGAGGCCAAAAGTAATAGGAAATGAAGAGAAAATTTCGTAAGTTTCGTTTGCAATTGTATGAGTTAACAGTCAAGAAACGAACCACAAAATAGTTATCATTGCCAGGGTGCTCGAGATTACTGGTCTAGAAATGGATATTAGCGCAAGATTTGAAGATGAATCAGGTCTTCCAATTCATTGTTCTACGCGTATTACAAAACATAGTTGTTTCTACTGATGGAAATGACAGTAATATTATTCATGGTCGCTACCTACAAATACATTGAATTGCTTAATCATGTCATAACTGGGTTTTTTTCTTCCCATATAGCAAATGAACATCAGCTATGCAGAAGACAACTAATTCTTTACGCAAGCAGATATTTTGCAAAGTTCGCAGCAGAAACAAGTCCATGTCATAATTGCGTTTTAAAATCAAAACCATTAACTTTGACTCAAAACAGTCAACAAGACTATTATTTACTTTATCTTGGCTATTAAGTATGACTCGATAAACTGCGGCTGCGGAAACAGGATTGTAGCTCAAAAGAAAAACTCTCGTTTTTCCATACACGCCGCATTCGCCTGACGTCGCACCATGCAATTACTTGCCTGCTGAGATGGAACGTCAATTTTCTAATGCGGAAAAGTTGCAAAAGAGACAATTTAGAAGAATTAGTTGTAGAGACATTAGGTATTTTTTGGAAGCAAGAGAGAGATTGAAAAATGAGCAACGCCTTCGGAATCGAGCCATGGACCTCTGGAATACGTGCCCAGCGTGCAGACGACCACACCACGAAGGCATGCCAAAAAGGCGGGAGAAACACCTTACACAGTTTCTGACGTACGTCGAACAATCCTATAAGCGTTAAATGAAGGGTGGTTTTGCGAAAGGGTCTTCATGATGGATATGTTTCAGTGCTTTAACTTCAATAGTAGCAATAGATCTATCGCCGAAACTTTGGAGCCTAGTTATAATTTCCATTTCAAAAGACTAAAAATACGTTGAAAGCTTTTAGGTCTCCAAGCAAATAACATACGGGGAGAGTACATATTTGATTAATTTTTATCAATTTTATAAAACAATATTATTAGAAGTGTTATACCCGTAAGAATATTATTTTTGTGATCGTTTGTTAATCAACAAAATAATCTTAGAAAACAAGGCATTGAAATGGTCTATTAGTCAATATGCATTTTATGCCTACGTTATCATCAAAGTTTCATTTGAAAGCTTTGTATAAGTACTTACAGCTTTCAATCATCATAGAACAATTCTGGGTATCATGAGGGTAAGCTTCAAACTTCATGGCACAAGAAAGCTCTAATGTTAACCTGTCAATATAAAACAATAACACCATTGAAAGATATTTGTAAAAAAGTTAGAAGTATTTTTGCTTCTTTTAGTATTTCTTATTAAAATTACTGTAAAATACTTTTTAAAAGCATCGCCTTTGCAGGCTATTAATTAAAATTAATCATGTTAATTAAACTTGCAATGATTGAGGCACTTACTTTGCCATGTAAAGGAGAGTTTTATCGTAGTACAGCCAAAGGTAATGGTTCGGAACACTCATGTCATGAAATGTGACCTTTTTAGCATTTTTAAAGAAAGAATCCGGTCTCCATATGTACTGCAACCATCCAACATCTAGAATTCTGTATCCTTCGGTCATATTTTCGGGTAATCTCAGGCGATAATCTTGCCAACTCTGGGCTAAAAAGATATCAGCGACGTATGTCTAGCGTGAAAGGAAAAGAATGGATTATTATTAAAGAATGCAATACTTCACTTTCGCATCTCCATATGTATAAAAAACCTCATTTACCATTGATTCTTCATCTATGGAGTCCACGCTTAAAACAGTTACATGGAAATGAACTTTGGTGGGTTGACCTAACAATGAGTAGATAAGCAATATGGGCGTTATTAAGAACAATAACACAGCTTAAGTTTCTAAAATAATTAAAATAAACATAAGCAGAATTTGCGTGTTAAATTTAATAGTGTAAGAACATTAACACTGAGAAATATTTTTACAGACGTAATAATTAAGGAAATTGCGTGAGAGAATTAGTCTATCCTCTACAGGGAATTTGAAAAACAATTCTCTCTATGTTCTCTATTAGGCCATCAAATTAAAATTGCATGAAATGCAGTTTTATTACATCATACCATCTTTTTTTGGCGGTAAATGCTTGTCGTATACTTTTCTCTCCATCGGCAAAATATCCTTCAATTCCAATGATGGCCTGTTACGCATCCTAAAATGAACATAAAGTAGGTTTTTAACATTCTGAAGTCTGATTGCGCTCATTAAGTGCACAAAAGATTTACAAGATGATTACTATATATAGAACACACATGCGCAATGTGAAACGTTTGTTATAATATACTTTTCGATACTTGCGTAAAGTTGTAATAAGTTTGCGCAATTTAATATAACCAAAAAGAAAGTTTAACGTAAAAATTAGCACAGATAAAAATGAAAATATCACTAACTGAACTTTCGTTGGAACTAAACCAACTTGCAAGGTAATTGCAAGGTAGCGGAAGCTGTAATGTTTCACATGAAAGTTGGAATGTGAGATCAAGTTAAGAAAGGTGGAGTTTCGAAAAGGTTTTTTTCAATATCACGGTTAGGAACGATTAAAAGTGAAGTACAAATTATGTCATTGACCAGATTATTGTATAAAAAGATCTTGGAAGCTTCCAGGAAATCCACATTAGAAGGCAAATTAGTGACAGGAATAATTTTAGCTTCCGAAAAAACATAACTTTCGGTTTTAATTCGAATAATAGGAACACATAGCTTCCCCTCCATTTCTAGTTGGAGGCGTGAAAAAAAACTTGTTCCGAGCCTCATTTTTCTTTTTTCTACCTCGCATTCCAAATTACACGCAAACACTACTAGTTCCGCTGAGTCTATCGTTAACAACTATGTTGGACTATTTCCCACGAAACTGCGGTCACCGATATTTTCATCTTTATTTGTGCTTATTTTTAAGCCGAACTACTTTTCGTTTATTGTTGCAGTATATCATAATTTTCATTGAAATTCAAAATGCTACAGTTCATATGCATGATTCACACCAGACTGAACATAAATGACTCATTAAGACAACTTTAATATAGCTTCAAACAAAATAGCTCAATATATTAAGAGATAAAAATGAACTGATTTTCTTTAGGGAATATTATTCCTCGTCAAAAATTCACAGAGCTTTTTCATATGAAATTAGCTCCAAATAAAATTTAAAATTTACAAGCCATTAAACATATAAGACTAGAAACATTGTTTAGACACTGCAGATATATTTTTTGAGTATTTTTTTAAGATTCATTATTACCATTCGCAATATGTTAACTCATGTTTAAAGAACTTTAATTATGGAGAAATGTTTTATTAAATATTCGTAGTGAAAAAAAAAATCAAAAATCTGTTACAGTCTAACTCATTTTTCAAAGTACTGAAATAGTCACTTTATTCTTCAAATAATTCCTCAAATTCCCAGCCCTGAATTTAGAAGAAGGGGGTTGGCCATTTATTGATATGGAATTTCTCCAAAATAGGCTAATACTGTGCGTAATAGAATACTTGATTAAAATTCAAACCTTTTCAAAAAATTTTCTTTTACATTTTAAAACTAAAATTAATTGACTAAATTAAATTTAATTTAATTAATTAATTAATAATTTCATGTTTTCATGCCTTGTCATATATAGAATTAATCTATTTTTATATGTTGCCATAATATCTTTCGAAATTATCACCCTGATTTTCCTATTATGAAGACAGGTTACGAGCACTGCACATGAAATCTTATTTTAGAATTTTATTAATATGTAATTTTTTTGCGCTGAATAGTTTAAGAATACATAGAAATTAAACGCTTATTTTAAAACAAATGTAAATTATTTCATTGCATACAGAATCTCGCATTCTCCTTAGAAACCTACGAAAAGATTGTAACTATATAGACCACAAAGGTGAATTTTTGAATATTGCTTTTTCAAATGAAGGAATGATGAATTACATTTACATTATCAATTTCACATTAAATCTATTTTTGATTTTATTTTTATTACTAAAAACCTGAGTTTTTATTTTTGAGTAAAACGTTTAACTAAGAAAAATGAGTAACCTTAAAAAATAATTTTATAATGTACGACACTCGTATGCGAAATAATGATTGGTAATTTGGCACACAAATGTGAGAAGTATGCAAGACCTTCTTTTCTGTAAGAATTTAATGCTATGAGGGCGGGTGGATAGCTTAGCTTATGCGTTCTTAAGCTATTCAAAGTTGAAATTGTCAGAATATGTCTGAAAGCAAAAGTAGCAGAACGTCATAAAGTATAATGCTGCTCAAGTATATTAGTGCACGAGTTATATTCAGCTGAAGACTAAAAGTATCTTTAATATATCTCACAACACAGAAATATAAAAATCTCATTAATTTAAATGTTATGAAAATGAATAATATTCTGTATGTTTTTGCACTTTATTCAAGGTGTGGATGAATGAAGTTATTTTTCCTTGGGTCATCTAAACTTTTTATTAAAATTGTAAAGAAAATTTGAGATAATTTATTTCAAAAGCGTAACTTATTTAATTTGGTTTAAACATTTTTGCTCTTTCTTCCATGTAGTGAAAACAGTTGGGCAGATAGTTATTGCATGAAACCATTTAAATACACATTTGATCTGTCACAAAAAAGGAACCTATTAATAATCTATTAACTTAAAAAGAGAAATTTTCAAGTGCAGCATTGTTATCAAAATAGTTGATTTTTTATAGTGAAAAATGTGGACCTTATCTTTTGCCTAAGATTCCACGTCTGTTCGTGAAAGTCATCATCTGTTCTCCTGCACCAACTGTCGTCGAAGATAGAGTCTTCCACCAACCGTAAACCGTCTTCATTAAGTGTACCATCAAAATGATACAGATCTTTCCTCAAGGCCCCATTTTCCCAGAAGACATGGGAGTGATCAATGTACTCTACACCATTTCGTTGTGCATACCATCCAACATCAGAATTTATTACATTTACCTGAAATTAAAAAAAAAAAAAATTATTTAACCTCTCTGGTTGGCTGGTTGTTTTCATTTGCACAAGAGCCAAAATAGCTATGCTGTACCAAGTGCAAACGTTTAAGCATCAGCCCACTTGTATATAATATATATATATATATATATAATTTATTTCCTAAACAGTATTGATTAATTGATTATATTATCTCCTAAGTTTAATTAAAGTAGAATTATTTTAAAAGTGTGCATCCATACTGGTAAGTTATATTTTGAAAGATGTTTTGAAGTAATTTGAAAGTAAAATGTTAATAATGTTTTAACGGGGACTGGAGTTAAATCATCACGAAGAATAATATTACAATTGTAAAAGTAAAAATTAAAACATGTAATTATTGTCATTGATCGGAAATTAGTTGACTTTTCAAGGGGAACAAACCAACTCCCGTTCAATGATCAATAATTGATAAAAATACGTAAATATGAAAGTGTTTCGTCTTTACTCGAGTTATAAGTTAAAGCCAAACCGGCAATTCTAGTCAGGCCAAATATTTCCGCGAATAGTTGTTACTCAAAGAACTGATTCTCATGAAGCATTTTAGTCAATTCAATTTGGAGTAAAAATCAATTACTGTAGAGAAATCTTGTAAAACTCGAGTAATCGTCCCCGACACTATCATCTTTATGTATTTGAGTACTATATTATTTGTAGAAATTAAACATTGGAAATTGTCATTATGAAATCGAAATCAAAGTAAAGTTGAAATAAACATAGAAGATTATAAAAAAGATAAATAATGCAAACCTTGCAAAAACTAATCAAAGAGAACATAAAAATAATATAAAAATAAAGTAGAAAATAATATAAATAAGATCAGTGAATGTACATGAAGACATAAAGGCCAGAAAGGTATTAAGTAACATATATATATATATATATATATGTAATAATAAAATTCCATAGTCAAGAATACCCTTAAAATTCTTTTCATTTTTAATGGCGACGTTCTCTCATTTGAAAGTACGTGGAATTAAATCCACAGCCCCGTAGTCAAGTTGTTTTTCCCGCCTTTTCTACACGTACAGTTATAGAATGTTCTGGAAATATTTAAAGCGAACTGGATTGGCTGACGAGGCTGACGTCATTTCTTGGAAGCTCCGCCTTTCCAGAGGCTATAAAAGAACTCGCAAAAGGAATATCGGGACTTTTTCTTAAATGTCACGATGCAGTAAACTTCATACAAAAAGTTATTAGTAATTCTTTTTATTTACTCTGGATATCTGATTTTGTAACTGCTATTTCTCCTGAATAATAATAAATGGTTCCTGTTTTTTTTTAAACTTATCGTCTGATAATTTAAGCTACGACTAAAGCTGGTACATCACATATATATATATAATAATAATAATTTATTTCCTTAAGAATATTGATTAATTGATTATATTATCTCCTAAGTTTAATTATGATTTAATTCCAGTCCCCGTTAAAACATTATTAACATTTTACTTTCAAGTTACTTCAAAACATCTTTCAAAATATAACTTATTAGTATGGATTCACTCTTTTAAAATAATTCTACTTCAATTAAACTTAGGAGATAATATAATCAATTAATCAATATTGTTTAGGAAATAAATTATTATTAACTTACTTTGCAGCAATTGCGCAAGTAGTGGTAACTTGTTTTCACACTAAATGAATTTAAGATCATACAACATACGTATATATATATATATATTACAATATAGCAGCTAACTGGCAGATTCGTCTCTTTTCTTTTATTGTTTAGGCTTCAATGATGACTACTCAAGAGTATATATATATTTATAAGTCGATATATCTATATCTATATATATAGATATATATGTATACAAGTTCGACTGATGCTTATACATCGATATATAAAAATACATTCACATAGACATACATACACACACACACATATGTATATTAAATGTATAACTATAGTATTTGAAAGCTGTCTATGAAATTAAAATACACATAAGGGCTAAAAACTTGATAATCTAAAAGTAATAATTTGCATGAAAACCTGCTTTGGAAACACAATGATGATAAAACATTAAAATATCTAAGTACAGTTAAAACAGTACTGTAGCATAATCTTTAAAAATCACAATGAAACAAATGAAGCATTTTATAAAAAGCCAACAGTGTGTAAAAATGCAAAGAATTTGACACAAGGTTTACAAGTTAAATCTGTTCCTTTAAAAAGTCTAAAACGGTTCGATGATCATTAAAAACTGTACAGACAGCTAAATTATGTAGAACATAAAATATATTACCACAATATACATTTGCTGGTGCATTCTTACCTAACAGTAAGAGATGATGAGTGAAACGTTTGTGTCCAGTGTGAAGCCCTGTCAGTTTCACTTCGCCTCTTCTCAGCGAATGCATTGGCCACATTATAATGGAGGATGAAATAGAAAGAAATTTATTGCCTTGTTGATCACACAAGTCTTGTAACATGGTATGAATGAATACTTTTATTTGGAGAGCTTGTAGGGTTCCTCACTCTTTTTGGCTAAAGTAAATGTCGAGGAACCTAGTAAATTGTTAAGCGACTTAATAACTAAAGACGTAGACTCAAAAAGGGTTAACTGCCCTTTATTTAACTCAAAATAAGATGAACAATTGGCCCCTTTCTTGGGCTTACAACAAAGCCTCCACTTGGGTTTAACCTCAGAATAAGAAATAAGAACTAAATTATAACTTATTAACAGATTTAGCCGAAGCTAACACAATTATATAATGTAGTTGGCCCTAAATTTAAACTAGCCGGCGAATATCAAAAGGCACGTAATAAACGACCGAGCGTAACAGCTTCAAGAGAGATTTTAGCCCGAAGGCAAACACGAGCTACTCAGGATTCTCAGCTCTCTCTCGTGAAGTAAGTTATTCCTTAAATACTACTACTCTCTCATTTACATTCAACACGATTCTAAAAACTCATTCTAGTAGTGAGTTGTAAGTGGAAACAAGAAGTGATAGGAAAGCGACTTTAAAAATTTAAATAACTGTTATAAAATTAAAATATACCTTACGCGCTTAACATTTGGAAATGAGTCCGGTAGTTCTAATGATACGGATGCTGCTCTTGCAGTAGAGTTTGCTAGTCCATTAAAAACAATACCCACATGAATAGGCACCAAACATAAAAAGGAAATTAAAAACCTCCCCCTTTCAATAACTACAAGATGTTAGAGATATCACAGACAACAGAATGATAATTATCACTAAAAGTTTCCATTTGCATCATTTCAGTAATGCTGTCAAGATAGATGCCAAATCGCGACAGGGGATGGAACAATTATGAAAGGTGTAATAAACTGCTGTAGCTTCTCCAGTATATGCAGACCAGGATACATGAAGCCTATTATTATATGTTGTATTTATTTACAGCAATACTGATGCTAACAAGCTCATCTGCCTTAGACCATCCATGTAAACTCGAATATGCCAAACGATGAGAAGAGAAGAGTTGAGTAAAGACAATTGCAGCTATATCAGGTTTACTGCACTAGGAGAAAGGGGTGATATGTTTGATAGCAGGAACATCCCAAACAGGAAAACGAAAGAAATGAATGCTTTTATTGGATATATCAAATGTAAGTCTGAATTGGCGACGAGAATGTTTGCTCATTCAAAAAAAGTAAATGTACTCAATCGGCGAGCATGATTAAAATCTTTTCACATTGCTGTTAAGCTTCATGGATTTCAGATGGTGCGTTACGGTTGACATGACTTTAAAATAAAAATTGGCAAACAGTTTCTTACGCGTGAAGTAGAAAGCGATGGCATATTATATACAGGCTATTAACTGAAGATATACGGAATTCACCAGAACATATTCTCATGGCACAGTGATGGATAGTATCCAATCTATGTAAAGCAGAAGAACTCTCGGAGAGCCTCCAAAAACACAATCATAATCAATGGGAGACAATATCATAGATTCTTATACTCGCAGTAATGATGTCTGATCTGCTTCTAAAGAAGTGTTAGACAGCATCATGTGGATATTTAAAGGCGTTTCACACTCCTTTCTTAGAGCTGTAATATGCGGGAGAAATGTCAGTTTACTACAAACAAACAAAAAAGCCTAGAAATTTCACGTTTCTGACTGCTGGAATAGGTGTATTCCGAATGCATATATTTGGATCAAGGTGAAAACCACATTTTCTACAGAAATGGACACGTCTACTTTTGCAAGGCGAAAGATTGTGACCATTTTTGCCACACCATGCAAACAAGCTGTTGACAGCAGTTTGTAACTGCCGCTCAACACATGCTAGAATCCTGATAGGAGATCTGTAAGCCATCAGCTGATAATGTGCCACTGACAGAAGGTGGCAACTGATGAACATGTTACAGACATGAAGGTTAAAAATAGAATACTTAATACGCTTTCTTGAGGGATGCCCACAAACTGGATAAAATATTCTAAATAAATGCAAGGAGATTACCCCAAAATACAGTCAAGCATAGAAAACAGAATGCCATAGCGCTATGTTCGGGTCATATGATTTCTCAGTATCAAATAGATACTGATACCAGATGATTCCTTCACAAAAAAGTCTGCTTCAAGCTGAGCAATACTGTCAAGCGTTGAAACGCGCTTTCCTGAAGCTACACTTTACGCATCGATTTTTCTACAGCACATAGATGAGGCGAGTTTTTACCATGCACTTTTAGAAGGTTTTATGGAGGCAGCTCATAAGGGCCAATGGTTGACAGCTGAGAGGGTCTTTGGGATCTAAATTAGAGATCGGGACTACTATATTTTTTTTCGTACAGTATCCTAAAATTGCTGTTTCTAAACTCTGTTAAGTAATAAAAGATATTAGATAATGCGTTTGAATGTAAACTGAAACATTCGACAGAGATATAGGTACAAGTGGAAGAGACATCAATCCGTCTCCAACTAGCTGCCAGGTAACGTCTGCATCCATTAACCACCTTGAGCACCGGACGGCTGCTGTGAGCATCCGCACTGAATATTCGACCAGGAGCCTTGGTGAAATGTTACTTGCCTTGCTACAATATTACTTGGTATATTGACCAAGTTAATTCTTTCTTACTTGTAGAGTAATACATAAAATTTAGTCCTAAAACAACATAATCTTAAATGCAGTCCTGACTATAATCCTAAATATCATAGAATATCATAGAATTTGATAGAAGATAGATTTGATCGAAGAATATAATTTTTAAAATTATATACCGTCAATCAATAGTGACTGATGCGTCCTGAACGAAACGTATAGGCGTTAGTCACTTGTGATTGAGGCGATCCTCAGTGAAATCTTGGTTACGAACTTAATTCTTTCCCTGAAGATAATATGATCTTAATATGATCTTAATGTAGTTAATAATAAATAAAAAATACAATAATAAATACAGTCCTAAAGCGACATTTCATTTAAGAATTTATAAGGTCTCTTGCCTTCTTAGCGAGCCTTCGTGGTGTAGTGGTCTGCACGCTCAGCGTGTAATTCAGAGGTCCGCGGTTCGATTCGCGGCGAAGGCGTTGCATATTTTTTATCTTGCCTGCTTCCAAAAAATACCTAGTGTCTCTACAAACTATTGTAGTATGTCAGCGATGCTATTTGTAATAGCAGTTTAACTTGACAATAGTCCGTATCTTCCCTTGATAAGTACATCACGATATTGTTGACTTTTTGGATTAAGGCTGGTGTATTAATAATAAGTATACAGTCAGTATTTTGATGTTGTTTCAGATGAAATTTCTTGGCCATTGGGCACTGATATCTCTGATAAATCTTTTTATAGTACAGAAAGCAAGTGATTTCGGGTTTTCGGCAGCACTAATTTAATTGGAGTAAGTAAATTTTTTAATGAAGCGGGTATGTAAGCAAAATTAGTAATTTTTCAAAAATGTTGTGTTGGCATTCAGTTTACAAATTTCTAAGTAAAGAAATGCCAGAACTCCTCACTAAAATTGAGAAAAGAATATTCGCGAATTTAAACAATGAAAGACTGCCGTATAAGAACACAGATAAAAATATTATGTCTCTGGCATATATTTAAAATCGGTGCATGCTTAAAAGATATGAAAATAGATTATTAATGCCTTTCGATAAAAAGTTTCTAAGAAAATAAACCTTAAATTTCCAATCAGAGATTCAATGTTCTTTTTTACTGTTTCTATTCACAAAAATATCCTTGACGAAAGATGCATGTATCTAATATTTTGTCATAATTTCTGTATAATAGTAAATCACTTCCTTTTAAATGACTGCAGATTTTTAATTATAATAATAAGATAGGATTAATTTCACAAGAAAATTTACTTCTGGAAAGCGTATTTGAGAATATTTTTAATACTCAACTTAAGTGTACTGTGATCAAACAACAATGGAGTACATACGATTTTAGGGTTACATATTTAAAAAATGATTAACTATCGTCCCCTAGTGCCATGCCATTCATCTTTCATTTCAAAATATTATCAATAAATTTCAATTTTGTACACATATTTCAAGTCAATCCTAGCAGTTGCTGTTTTTTGCATCTATTATTCTGTCAAACTGATTGACACATCTAGAACACTTCCACGGGCTATGTGCTGTATTGTTATATGATGTTACAACTTAAATAATCTACAATAATAGGTTTGATATAACATACGTGAATAGTACACACTGAATCTATATTTGCCCTTTCCTACATTGGTGAGATTATATTTTTTAGCGCTTTGAATGCCAAGACTTTTTTACCTTCCTTTTCACTTAGACCGCAATATCCGATTTCACCTATATACTGGCGGCCGGAGTTCTGTGTAGAATTTGATAGAAGGTAGATTTGATCAAAGAATATAATTTTTAAAATTATATACCGTCAATCAATAGTGACTGATGCGTCCTGAACGAAATGTATAGTGTTAGTCACCTGTGACTGAGGCTATCCTCAGTGAAATCTTTGTTACGAACTTAATTCTTTCCCTGAAGATAATTAGTCAACCGAAATATTAGCAAATTAAAACAATTTTCTCCATCGGAATTAGTTTAAAATGAATTAATATGCTTCCGGATCTCAAATAATTGCTTATAAAAGTACTTTGTAAGTTCATAATGAAAAACCACCAGAATTAATTAAACCTAACACATGCACCATATTAACATATACGCAATATTTAACACAATACTAAACATATAAAAAATAGAAAAACTTGAATTAAACTTAAACTACCTCTCAAACTTAAAGTACCTCTCAGAAGGAAAGTTAACTATATGAATAGAAAATGGTGAAGAAGCAAGAAGTACAAAATGCTGTTGGTTTGAAAGCGAAATCCTGTTCCGTAAAATATCAAAAAGGTAGTTGTAATTTTCCTGTTTTCTTTTTCCTCCTCTTTCTTTCTTTTAACACTTCTCGTCTTTAGCTGAGTCCTGCGGGTATCTCTGAACCTTTGTCCTATTAAAAGTCTATCCATTGTAATTTTTTCTGTCTATGTTTTTAAAGCAAAACATGGCACTGCCATTTCTTACTTTTATTTTATGACTTATTACTGCATTATCAGGGTAATAATATGCTATGAAACTTTACCACATTTTATGCAAGTTTCGAGGAGGAAATCAAAATTTGAAGAGAAGACTCTTCCTTTACTGCATTAACTGCATTTTGGCGTATCATTAGTCCAAAGGGGCTTTGTCCTTGAACGACTATCGTTTTCGTTTTGCGATTTTGCGTTGAATCATTATAAATGTCTGTTTCGCTTTTCAAGCTGTTGCCACCAAATGTTAGAGTCCTGCATTATATTTGAAGAAATTAAATAATGAGAAATCTGCATAAATGTATGCCTATTTCTCGCATTGTGATAAAAAAAAACGGTACATAGAGCCATCGAAGTTTGAATGACGTAATCCTCCTACAAATATGGGCTAAACTATGACTGGGAAGGAAACTATGACTATGGCTGGGAAGACTAAATTTAAAATTTGGAAGTTGTTTTATTATCGATTTCATATTTTGTAAAATTTTAACGAATTTTTGATTAACAAACTCAAGGATTTCAAAGCGAGCGATGGCAACTCTCTTTGGGGGGGGGGGAATCTCCAGCGCTTTTTATCTCCAGCGCGCGGAACTGTGTATCGGAAATTCTAAGGATATGCTCATTTTAAAATTATCTTGCGACATTGCTATTGAACTGAATTTTATGGTTTAAGTGCATAAGAACGTGATATTTAATAAATAAAGGTAACACACAAATTTAAAAAAAACGCCCCTTTGGACGTAATTTAAAACCTGAAACCTTTCAGATTTGTTTTTTTCTTTTGTCGGTTTATTTTTCTGTATTTCGAGGCATCGTTCCTCATCCAATACGTTTTTTCTTTGGAAAATTTGTTCGTTAACCGATTTGTTTGTAATACAGACATCCGTGAACCAAGGTTCTACTATACAGTGTCAGTCCCCGATGATAATATAGCTATTTACGTATTAAATAAACTTTTCCAAAGGATATTTATATCATCATTTGCTTTACAACTTTAATATTAGGAAAAATATAAATATAGCGATATATTAGGAAAAAGCGTTTGTCGTACAGCGTTTATAGGAATGCTTTCGAATATTTTGTTACCTAACATACGCCAGAACTCTTCAGATAATTAAGAAAATGAGTGTTCCTTTGAGCTTAAATATGCATTAACTTATTAACTTGGTTATACATTACTTTGTTATATTTTGTAAAACAATTGTTGTAACTATCATTTTATAAATATAGTGCAGTTTTAATTCAAATGAAAACCAATGGTAATGAAGGAGAAATCTTATTACGATTTTCAAATATTTTAGAATTTCACTAGCATTATCAAACACTAAGTAAAAATGACCCTAAGCCTATTGATGAAACATTTTATTTTTCTTATTTTCAGTTTTTACAGTTTTTCATAACACTTAAAACAAGCATAATTACAAAAGACAAATTATAGACATTTGTAACCAAGCAGCACTGTCACATATTAATTAATCAGTCAATATACTTCGCTAAAATAACGAACTATTTTTATTTGATAGCTTTATTGTCATACGGCAAGGAAAATGCACTAAAAAGAAACAAAACTACACTTACACCCGAAATAAAAACACTTTTATGGTCGTTTCCAACCAGATAACACTGTCCCATACAAATAAATGAGACAATATGTTTCAATAAAATAATGAACTATATTTTATTTGTTGACTTTATTATTATACAGTTAAATTTAAAAAAAATATATCGTACCTTATGATTATACGTCATGAGAGGATCATTTCTAGGTATAATACCGGATAATGCGTAGGATCTAGCTGCATTTCCTGATTCCTGGGAAGATCTCATCTCATCAACAAGGCCTTTTAACTTGCTAATAACAAGAGATGAAACCGAGGGTAACTCATCGATGATGTCATTAGCTCCAGCATGAATGATCAGCTTATCTGGCTTGTCATCCATCTCGAAATTCACATTAAAAATAGATTAAAAAAACAGAAATCAATTGATTTTAGAAAATGTTTGATAAACCTATGCAAACTAAGTAAAATGCAATTAAAGATCATACTGACATACGTACTCAAAGTTCGATATTTACGGAGCATTTATTCTCTCAGAGGAACTGATCTGATACATAATTTCCTGCGACTATAACATTTTAGTTGTTACCTAGTTGTTACAATTACATTTATTCTGAAACATTAATTACTGGACACCAAGCAATTTAGGTTTTCGATGCTCAATGGAAAAGATAAAGATTAATTATTTTTCGGGTGTAACAAATAATTAAATTGCTATTTTGAAAAAACACTCTATAAATGTACCTTGTTACGAATCGATATTGATTATGCATATGATATTTGACGTATTCATTTTTTATGTATTCTATACTCTTGATAATAATGAGAATAATGTATTCTTGATAATAATTGCACTTGATAATAATGTATTACTGTAACACACAGGAAGACTGAATTTCCAGTATTAAAGAAAGCAATATTAACTCCAAGTGATCAAATTTACGCTTTTGATATTCTCTAAATGTAAATCTAATAAGTTTTTACAGGATGTAGGAGAAAACATATATTTTCTTTAAAATACGTTAGATTATTTAAATTATCTTTACGAGAAAGAAATTTAAATTTCCTCAGACACGTAAATGATTAAGTAAATTAATGATACCATGATAGTGTAGTCTGAGTTCGGGAAATATAAAAGACCAGATTTCAAATTTTAACATAGATGTTAACATGACAAAAATGTTGTATAACCTGAAAATTATAAACAACATAACATACATGCTTTAATAAGAAGTTACCAAAGGCTTAAATAAAACACTGCACAGTTTTGTAAATAAGAATAACTAGATTATAATTACCTTAGCTAAGGCATCTCTCATCCTCTGCTTAGCATCTGTTACGCTAAGACCAGGGTACGATTCTGTACTCACGTTACATCTACCTCTGTAAATTGAACCCTTCAGAAAATCCACTGTTTCGTCACCAATAATCAACACATTTAATCTATCTGTTATGAAAGGAAAGAAAATGAGCTTATCTTTTTCTAAACTTCAATTTATACATAGGGACATATTTTTGTTAGTAGACATTATTTTATTTTGAAATTTTCGCTGTTATTTTATAAAGATATAAATAATTATATTCCTTTGAAATATTTTTATAAAATTTAGAACTATTAAATTTCTTAACTTTGAATTAAATGAAATTATTATGAAAGTGCGAGATGGTGCACTTAAACAGTTTTGGCATGAGAAGATGTATTGGCTATATGGTTCAGGCATTTCTGAGTTAAAACTACGTGAATGATATAAAGATACAGCTTAAGTTCTTATTTGCAGCCTAATTTATTTATTTAAGAACTTTCATCTAATTTTTATGTATAATATTAAGTGGTTTTATGAGACAAAATGGTTTTAAGCTGAAAAAAATTTATTAGTAATTTTGTTTAATTTTAATTAAAAAAATTCAACAATTAAAAATTCTTTCTTCTTCCACAATTTTCAATACTTTTGCTTCAAAGTTTTTTATTGTATTTATAATAGTGTTCTTAATAACTTTACGGATCGATTTTCTAATTAATGAATTAGTTTCTGAGAAAAAAATAAAAAGCATATTTTTATATATAAACTTTAAAAAAATATGATTTCAATCGCATTTTCACTTCCAATAATTTTTCTTTTCACTATTTTTCAAAACCCGTCCTTGGTTCTATTAAGTATATAATTTTAAATAAGCAGTAAAATTATTAAATAATTTGGTAAATGTATGTACACGTTTTAAGACTTTAAGTAAAAGGATATATTGCAAAATTGCAAACTGAGAAAACGCAGTTTAAAGTATGTAACCTGTCTGAATGTTCAGTAAATCATATCAAATTTCTTAAAAATTTTATTACTGAATTTTAGTACATATATATATATAAAATAAAACTTAGTACTGCTCAATTGATTAATATGAACATAAATTACAAGCTTTTGTTTAAAACTTTAACTAGCTAGAAATATTGCAAAAAAAAAAAAAAAAAAAAAAAAAAACTCAGAAAATGCAAGTAGAATTTTTCTTTACATGTTTTTGTCTTTTAAAACACGTTCGAAACGAAACAATTTTAATGCATGAATTAATTATAATATATTTTCTAAAACGCTTATAATCAATATTAATAATATTAATTTGTCGTTTCATTTAATTTCTTAAAAAGCAAAATTTGAAATTTTAACAGACACAAAACATTTTATTTAAAACCACTCACCAGCTCATGTAATTTCTCTTTAGCCATTTGTTCTCGTATATAAATTTCCTTTATAATTAATTTATGTGCATTTTAATTAATTAAAGAGTTTAATGTTTGGTTCCTGCCCAATAATGTTTGTTCCTGTTCACTATTTCAATAATGTTTTAGTCAGAAACTTGATCACTTTCACTATACCACCTCTTTCTGTTCATGTCTAATCACAGATAGTTTCAATTTTTGAATAAGCATAGCAAAACTGACTGAAAATACACATAAAATTATTTGCTGAGGTCAATATAAATATATAAACTTGCCAGTTTAAAGGTGAAAAAAAGTTTTTTTTCGAATTTCAATTTGTATTTAAATAAATCCGTTTATACACATGAACAGAGTTTTTTAATAGTTGGAGTCATATTTAATTACACTCCTTTTCATTTACGCTGATTTTTAGTAAGTTACTGAAAATATTAAGAATTAAAAAAATAAGCACTGAGGGGGTGTGGCATTTAAAGGGGTGTCAAAAATTTTAAAAACCTTTTTATAGCATTTATTATCGTCAGATCATTTCAAAATTTCTCTTCAGTATAGTAAAGGTATTAAGGTACTTTTCCAGCAAAAAATTGAAAAATGAGTAATTTCATTGATTTTGGGGTACCGAGTTCCCTTAAAAACTTCTGTATTCTAATTAGAATAACTTTTGAATATTCATGTTATCTTACCTAATGCCATCTTTCATCTGTTACGTCCTTCTTAACCGGTAAATGTGCATTTTATTAAAAATTTAAATTAAGAATTATTAAAGTCTGGACAAAACCCCAGAAATATAGAGCTAGGCGAAATAAAAACAATCAGCAAAATTTTCTATTACAGAAGTTCTAAAATACCATTTTCAGAGTAATTTAAAATAACTCGAAAAGTGTACTTTTTTTAAAACGTAAATTTTATGCAAAGAATTTGGCCTGCTTTGATCTTTGAAAATACCTGACATTTCTTAAACAGCATGTTTACAGCAGTAAGTATAGAATGGGAAAATATGCTTAAAACACTGAACTCGAGGTCTTGTATAGTAAATTCAACAAACCTTTAGTGATATCAACTCCCTATTAATAGGGATAATTCTGGAGATGATATTTAAGGTTAACTCAAAATCATGGTTGATTAGAGGGCAGTTAAAAAGCAGAATGATACTCACAAATTAATAGGTGTATTTTGGTGTATTTAAATATGGCAAAGCACACTAGGGCTATCTGCCTAAAGGGAGGGATGCCTTCGTGGAGGACTTTCTAAGGGAAACTGGCTCGTATACACGTTACACATGAGGAAAACCACGAAAACACCCATGCAGCCAGCCCGTTCGCGGGATTCGAACCTCGGACCGAACTACCAGTGTTCAGCGACTTTACCGCTCGGCCGCTGGTGGGCCTCACAAATTAATAGCAAAATATTGCTATTTATTGTTAACAATTTACCTGTATTGTGAAGTAGTTTAATGTACAGAATAAGTTAATTTAATTAAGTCGACTAAATTAGTATTTTAAACAAAATGAACTCAATTTTTGTTTTTTAGGTAATCCGGCTAATCGGGAGCTGACTGTATTCCACATAGTATACTGTATACGTATATCGTATATGCATTCGTCATACATATATCAATTGTTTTAATATTGTTTTTTAAAAGGCTAAAATAACGGTAAATAGGTGAAGCTAGCATGAGCTTAATTAAAGTTAAGATAAACAGAAATAGATTACACGTTTTTTATTGAACAAATAAAAAGTCATTTTGTTGTTCAAATTTAGTACAATAAAAGTGTGCATAATATTATACCTTTTGACCTTTAATAACATTTAATTAATTACATTTAATTTTGACCTTTATTAACAGAGAAGAATTCGAGTTATGTCGATTTACTAGGATATTCAGATAATGATAAAAAATTATGAATTCCCCCCTTTTTTCTTCCTTTCTTTTTCATTTTTTAAATTTATCGTTCTTTTATTTTTGAAAAAAGGTTATATTCTTAAGTAAAATAAAATATTTTTAACTTCCTTACACAAATACAAAATGTATTTTTGGACAAAATTACACACTGAAATTATTTTTTTATTTGTTTAAACACCCAACTACTTCTATGTCAATTAAAATAAAATAATTAATTTATTTTACTTTTATGTAGTCAATAAAACTAAACGTTTAATCTTATGCACACTTTTATTGTACTAAAACTGAACAAAGAAATGCTTTTTTAGTTGCTCAAAACAAAACGTGTAATCTATTTCTGTTTAGCTTAACTTTCTGTTTAGCTTTCTGTTAGCTCACGCTAGCTTCACCTATTTAATCTCTTTTTAGAAAAGAAAATTGTTATGGATTAGCAATAATTCGCGGAGAAAACTAAAAAAAGTAAGCATGTGTATGATATTTAAGCTGTTTAATTAAATTCCGCGCTAGGATAGATAAACTCCATATGAAGAATCGCCCCTTGAAATCCTTAATGTAAACTCTGCAAAGCAAGATGTATTCCCATTAAGCCCAAACATTATAATAAAAATGCCTAGAATATTCGATGAAGAAATCTTATTCTGCAAGACATTTGAGCATATAATGGAAATAAACGCCCCCAACTGGAACTAAAGAACATGTTTAAGATATTTAAAGCTCAAATTTCGAAACATCTCAGAAAAGAAAATTTTCAGATTTTAAGAAAAGCAGATTCTCAAGAAGTACACAAAAATTCCAGTGAAAAAAATAACGTAATTCTTTAGATATGAAGATAGAAATATTTGTCAGATTGGATTTTTTATTAAGAAAAATAAGGGAAACTTCATGCGAAAGGGGGAAAAAAACAAAAAAAAAAAAAAACAGCCACATTAAATTATCGGACAATACTGTAGTGGGGAATTTAACTATGCGATTACGATGTCTGAACTCAGTGTTGAAGAGTTTACCTATGTGATTACAGGGACAGAGATTCTAGATGCGGGATTTGACATCTTTGTATGTAAGTACTTCTGTGTTAATGTTCGTAAGTTCATAAGGTTTTATGTTAATTACCCAGTTTTTATGATTTTGAACTTTAACTTCTTCTTGTAATCTTCACCAGAATGCAATTGAGTTATTTGTCTCTTTAAGCCGAAAGTTAGAGCTTCTGGCAGCCTCGTCTTGCTATTACTTACTATCGCCAGCCCTGTTTAACTTTATTTCCGGCTTTAACATTTTGCTAGCCGACGTTTAAAAATGCTCCTTTAACTGTTGAGTAGTCTATTTTATGTATAGGCTCAAGCTACGTTGCATGCACTGAAGTTTAACTTTATGTTATGTTAATTTCAATACTATCAAGTGGCGGAGGTTCGTCTGTCGCATAAAGCAATGCTTACTGTTAATTTAATACTTAAATACAAAGGTTATTTTAACCTCCTTGAAATAAGGTTAATTGTTGCAGACTAAAGGGATAATTCGTTTCTAGTCTAGTAGGGCCTAGAGAACATTGACAGAAGCTTTTAGATGCAGTAGAGTACTACAAGCTACATAATATTTGTGAAATGATACTTGGTGACATGCTATTGCAAAAACCCTTATTTTGCTAAATGATGTGTAAGAACAATGCAGCATATAAATAAATCAGACAATATGGTTTAACAAAAATAATGAACTATATTTTATGAGTCATTTTTATGATCGAACGGTTAAATTAAAAAATATTTCGTATCTTGTGATTATTAGTTATGAGAGGATTATTTCTGGATATGTTACTGAAATCACATTTTAAAATAATTTTATGCTTTTGTTTTCCTTAAAGCAATAAAAAAAATCAAAAACGCATAAGTAAAACAACAATAAATTAAAATTTTTAAGGCCCTGAAAAAATTCGGATAATGGGGGCGGGCAGTGGATATTGAGTTCCGATCATCTGAGATCATTGGGTAATTGGAAGCATATAAAACAAGATTAACAATATTATAAGAAATTTTATGCTTAAATAAAAGGTTTTTTTTAAAATGTTAGTCTCAAATCCCAGAGCTTTTCTGATGGTGATTGCGGTGCACTTTAAAATGATTTTCTCAAAAATCGAGAGTACGAGAATAGAGTTGTAACACAGGTACAGGTAGTTCTCAACTTTCGAAAACTCGCTTTTGTAAGTCAAGGACTACAAGGACTGTTTTGTACATTCATCAATTCATAAGGATATTATTAAGGTCTCTCTTGTGTGCTCAACCAATTTTCCTCAATAGCATTTGAATGGTCCACTTTTATTATGACGATCTCTATTTAAGCTTTTAGCCATAGCTTCCTTTATGTCTTTTTTTTTCTTTGTGTGTGTGTCTTCATGTATTTTTCGTCTATTGATTTCTTGAAATCTTAAACTAAATATTTTCTTTTTTCTGAAAATACGACGATATCTGTTGTCATTTTTAGACCTTTTTTCTTCATTTGTTTATTACTTACGAGTGAGTCCTATTTGTCACGCTTGGTGTTTCATCTATTCATTTATTTTACATTATCAGTTTCAGTATGAATGCTGGGTATTATAGAGGGTATTTACGCATTTTTAGAATGAATCTGATAAAGAATTAAAAACAAAACAAATTTTTGTAATAAAAATTTCTGGCAGCAGCTTATTATTTGAAATGAGAAATATTATCTGCTACTTTCAAATTTATTCTTTGAAAATATTGCATATAAATAAGCTGTGGATTGAAGGATATGTTTCTGCGCTTTCAGAAGAGAATTCCTATTCCTATTCAAAAACATTATCAAATGCCTGGTATTAAAATTTCTAAGTGTAAAATAAGCAACATTATTAATTGTAAAGGGAGAAACCATCAATCATTTCTTCTACATGGAAAAAAAACTCCGAGCGAATACCCGAAAAAGGTACCATTTGTTTATAATATTTCTAAAGTTAAATCGTTAGTAACAAGCAAAAAATTCACCGACGCAGAAATCAATTGCAAAGTCTTTAAATACATTTGCAACAATAATAAATAAAATAATAAACCAAGATTTACAACTTTAAAAAGCTAAAAAGCATAATGTTCATCAGCTTTTCGCGAGACATGCAGAGCAAGTTTTATAACCCTGTATAAAAACTACTTAGCAGGAGATAAACGGAAATGCGTTGGGAGCCTTGATGGAGCATAGGTTTATCTAAATGACTACAACAGAAAAAGCTCTATTTTTTATCGAAAAAGAAGTGAAAAATTCATGAACTTGGTTCCGTTAATGCAAAGGAAGTTTCAATAAGGGGTTTATAATTGTCGTAGGATTCTCACACAATGGGAAATTTAAAATAACAAGCGTAGAAAGAAATGTTCATAATCAACACAATGTACTACCAAGAGAATATTTTATGTCCGATATTTGCAGAATAAATTTCATTTCTTTATCCCAATGAATTTTAAAGAGTGAAACTTCATTAAGACAAAGCAACAAGTCGTACTTCGAAAAGTAGCATCACTGCATTGTTTGAAAAAAGGAAGACTGATACAGGTACTGCATATATGACTTTTCAACGTATTCCTGTGAAGTCCCCTGATGTTTCATCTATGGACTAGTGTACCTCTGGCCTTTTGAAAAGAACTCTTTCTAAGCCCAAATCTTCCACGATTATTGGACTCTGGAAAGTAGCGGAAGAAGAATGGAAATCAATAACCTTAGAAATCTTATGGAAAGCCCTTCTATTATGGAACTCAGGATACAGACTTATAATCCCCCCCCCAAAAAAAGGCTATCAGATCGAATATTTAAAAAACGCTTTTTACATTTAAACATTAATTAAACAACCCCGAAATCGTTCTAAAAATGTATAAACATCCTCTGTATTTTGTACATTTCATTGCTTTAAACTTATTTAATTTTATTCATTGCATTGCGTAATCAGTAGACCTACGTTTAACGCGTGTTACATTAAACGTACATCTATTGTTTAGAAATTACAATGTGCTGATTAATTTTGTGATAAACGGTTAGGTATCATAAAATAACTCCTTTTTTAATTAATGCATGAATCTTAAATTTCAAACAAAAGGGGAGAATAAAATTCAGTTGATAAATAAAATCAAAAAGAAACAAAAATGAAGTTCAAATGGAAACGCTTAAGAGGTTTTACTTTTTAGCATGTTTCAAAACTGATAAATAAATTACAGTGTATGGAAAAAAAAAAAAAAATTCCCGTCATTCTAACGGAATATAAAGCTATTTATATTTTAATTATTCATATCGTAATAAAACAAACGTGACATATCATTAAATCATATATGATATGAATTCAATTCTCTAGATATCTTTCATATAGTTCATTATTAATAACTCAGTTCGACACATGTATCCTTACATACCTTTTGGCTTTCTCATTCTTGGTGATGGATGAGAAAAATGCTTTGCACCTCTGTGGCAAGATTTATCATTTCTGTTCGGTTGAATACTGACATCATTTAAAACATTATCATCGTAATCATCTGGGAAATCATGTGCCACATTCTTGATAGATCTACCACTTTTAGTCGAAGCAGGTTTAATCTCATAACAACACATTTCCGTCCCTTGCTTATTTTCGCTATCACATACACAATGAAACGTCTTACATTTCTGTTGTTCTCGAAAGAGGCTCTTTTGCGTTTTTTTTCGTTGACCCCTGCTGTGTCGACCTCTGTTCATTTTCCCATAACCCTCATCAGACATTTGGGCGAAGTCCTCTTTCGTTAATTCGTAATATTTTGTTCTTACTCTGGTTTCTCTGTATTCTGGTGCTTGATTTTTTGAACCAGCTTTGATGATTTCATTATGAGTTTTTTGTGCATATGAAAATCTGTAAAAAAAATTAGAATATATTACAAAAGTTTAAGTACACTAGTCTAATGGAGTACCCTTTTCAAAAGTTGTCAATCATTTCTTTCACATTACAATATTCCTCATGAATCTGCTAAATAGCCTGCTTCATAAATTGTAACACAATCGGACGTATTACAATAAAATCATAAAGATGGAAGCAAAAACTCATTACATCAATAAATTCGTTGTAAAAAGTGCATTTCAGTAAGAAAATAGATATCAATAAGTAAGTAAATAAAAATACAGAAATACATACTGTTTTTTCTAAAATACGTATTTTTTAAAATGCGCAATGGTTAAATAAACATTACTTTTGCATTTACTGAAAGCAAAAAACTAAACTACAGTATTTTCCATTAGTCCGCTTGAAGGCATTTAAATTTTAAGGCATTTAAAATCCCTTTATCTAAACTTAAGCAAATATTACTGAATTTTCTCCAAGACGTTATTCACTCCTCTGTGCTTTTAAAGTGAGGTTGTTTAGAAAAGATAGTTTAAAAAGTAAGCTGTTCTGGGAAAGATAGCCAGCTATGGCACTCATTTTATGCCAAGAAATGTCTGTGCTTTATGAAGTAATGCACAAAATTGCTTCTCTTTGTGAAAAGTGATAACAAAAAAAATCTCTTTGTAAATGACTATGAGAGTAAAAGAGCTAGAGGAGTAAAACACTTGTTTTGGAATGTACAGAAAAGCCTATAGTGCTTCTTGTCAGTTTAGCTTAGAGGCGTATAAAGCGAAAACAGTCCGTTATTAGGAAAAAAATTTAATGTTGTTTTTATGGCAAAAATAGTGTGACAATAAATTTAATTTTTTAAAGCCGTAAATTTATTACAGTTAATTTATTTATGAGTAGGTTCTGTTGTAATATATACTATATACTGAAATTATGGTCACGAAGCATTAAGTTAGTACTACCTCAAGTTATAAGTGCATCATGTGTACTTACAGTAAATGCAGTTACTTGCACAGCACTTACAGTACAATAAAATACAGTTAAGCTTCACAGTTACAGTTTGACACTTTAAAAAATGAATTTTTAAGGTTCTTTTCCATCGCCCGATTTGATCTGTAACCATGGGAACAACAGATGCCGAAAAAAGTCGACTCTGTTAATCCCACTCTCGCACTTATTTGCGTTTAGCATGTTTTGATTCATGAAAAGCAAGAGAATGATGGGATTTGAGTTACAGTCTCAAATGATTCGGAGAAAATAAATGCTGTGCGCTGACAACACGAGCTACTATCGTAAAAGGGAAGGACTGGCAACTGCTTTGAAATGCCTGTTTTAAAGTAACAGACTACATAGTAGAACTACCTTATCCTGGCAGCATAAGTAGATACAACAGCATAAGTTTCATATTACTTTAAAGATTAGGAATAATTAATTAAAGTTTTTCAGTTTCATTAACTATATTAGGCATATATTTTATGCCTAAAAGGCCTTAGAATGAAATTACATTTTCACATTTGAAACTTATTTTAGAATTTTAGGAATTTACACTTGAACTGAATAGCATTACTTATGAGTGAAATGAAAAATTTGACACTACTGGTTACCAAATTTATCCTTAAAAGTAGCTAGTTTAGATAACATGTGACGTAACTATATTTTACAGGAAAATGGAGTTAAGCCCACTACTGACCATTAAAATTGCTACACCATGAAGGAAATCAGTTAGCAGGATCCCATTTAATTTACAGACGTATTGTAATGAAAAAATGAAATGAATAACATTTTGAAAAAATTTTTAGATGCAAAATAAGCAAAAATCTGTACCCCGGACATCTGTTTCTGGCGAAAGTACGGCTAGGCATGGAATCGAATAGACTTTGGATGGTAGTTATGGATATTGTAATCCATGCGGCTTCAATTCTACGCAAGAATTAATCTGTCAACGGATTTTACAGCAAAGTTAAATACAAATTTACACAAATAGCATAATTATCACCGAATAGTCAAGAGAAAGCTCCCAGAGACTTGCATTAGAGCGGGCCTTTCGAAAATCACATTTAATAACATTGTGGGTCATTCTTGGCCAGGACATTCTAAAGTATTTGAAATCATGGACAACATAGCATTCGTCGACGACTGCTGTTACAGTAAAAGCGCATAAAGATAGCTGCAATTACACACTGCACAGATTCAGTATTTTCTGCAAGTCACAAAAACTGAAGAAATCACACTGAAAGTATCAAATATTAATGATTCATAATTTAGACAAGAAATTTCTCAGGAACTTAGATTTCAATATCCAAAGCAATAGAATCGAAACAGTTACCACAGTAAAATATCTCTTTATAACTATCGAGCTAAATTATCTTGGGTACTTTCCTCATTCAAGCCGTTAAATTACGCAGTCAAGTAATAGGATTCACTTTATGCCTTATGTAAAGCTATAAATAGGGACTTAATACACTGGTCTGCAAAACTTAAGCAACAATACAAATTTTAATCAGATAACCATGCAGTTGCAGAAAGGGGTTCTTGCTATCAGTACAATGAACACGCAATTCAGTAGAAAGGTCATGCATATGCAAATTTCAGGAAAAATACGTCACAGGCTACGTGATCGTACGCAAAATGCATGCGCTCCACTCGAGACTACCATAAAAGGAAGGACGGAGACGCAATTAAAGACATTCGCTGTAAGTACAAGTGAAATCGTTCGTGAAATATGGCTAGAAGAAATCATCTGGATGACTTGACGAGTGGGAGAATGATCGGAAAGCTGGAGGAGAGGCGTAGTGTGAGTAGTGGCTGAAATTTTCGAAGTCAACAAAAATGTCGTTTCGCGGGCTTGGAAAACCTTCCAAACCATAGGTACAGCTATTAGAAAGGTTGGTGGTGGCCGCTCCAGGACAACAACTGCAGCTGATAACCGATATATCGTCCTACAGGCGAAAAGAGCCCCAAAACCAGTCAGTAAGCTCCACAAGCTCAGCAAGTGTGTACAGCAACCAGAGACAATTGTTCGTGGTTTACTGTGTCCAGACACCATCACAAAGATGGCCTATTCGCCTCGCCGTCCTGAACGACTGCACCCCTTTGAAAGTTGGCGATCGGCGCCACCGTTTAGAGTGGTGAAAGGAGCGCAAAAACTAGGCATCTCATCAATGGAGTCGTATCCTCCTTACGGATGAGAGTCGTTTTAGTGCCCCAAGCGATTCTCAACGCCAACTTATTTGGAGAGAGGTAAGGACACGGTTTAATCTCAGTAATATCCCGGAAAGAGACCATTACGGTGTTTTGGAGATCTCGTCTGGAGAGGCGTTATGCTGAACGGGCGGACAGAGCTCCACGTTTTCGACAGAAGTTCTGTAACCGGAGATCGCTATTGTCAGGAGGTGATCCTTCTCTATGTGCGTCTGTTCCGAGGTGCGATTGGACTAGACTTCGTTTTTATGGATGACAATGCAAGGCCACACCGGACTCCTGCTGTTCAGAAGCTACTGAAAGTGAAGATATCAGTCGAATGGTTTGGCCAGCGTACTCTCTTGATTTAAATTCCATAGAACATGTATGGGATGCTTTGGAGAGACGCCTTGAGGCACGATTACATCCTCCGGCGAACAACCAACAACTGAAACAGATGCTGATTCAGGAATTAGCACTCTCACCTCAAAATCTGTTGGACAATCTGGTGCTGAGTGTAGGGAGACGGTAAGAAGTAACCATTGCAGTAAGGGGAGGGCATATCCCCATACTAAGGAACATCTGCTTGTTGTTCTTCCTCTTATACAGACAATCCTGTGTAACGATACTATGAGTTCAATAATTTGTTAATTCCATACTGTATGCATTGTATTCATTTTTGCGCAATTATGCTTTCGTCATCGTTTAAATACAAAATGCTGTCTCTTATTTCTGAATTTCATGTCTCTCAGATGATATCTCGTGGATTTATGTCAAAAAGAACACCTGTTGCTTAAGTTTTGCACACCAGTGTATATAATAAACATTCTGTTAAAAGCAATAATAATCAAAATAGTAACATATGATGCAGCTACATGGGCGTTATCTGTGAATACAAGGGAACAGAGGAATCCCTTAACATTCAAAGACCATTTGTGCTGTAAATTACTAAAGCCTTTCTCACGTAGCGCTAAACGCTCTGTCGTGTACAGTTCTTCTTTATTAATGCATAAATAGAAGCTGTAGCTGCTAGGGGTCTGCAATTGCCAATTACATTACAGGAGTCAAACCTTTATTATAAATGTTATCATCATGCCATCGAACTCATCACACGATATAAAGATAAAAATTTCATGCATCAATAGCAACAGTGGACATCAAGGCAAAAAAATAGCCGATCAGTCGGCAAAATCAGCAGCGATTCATCAACAAAGTATATTTATTGTAGTACCGAGGCCTCGTTCATATCGAAAATTCCAACTAAAATAGAAAGCTCACAAGTTCCTTCCAAAAGTAAATGATAAATATATCAATGCCAACGTCATATCTTCCAATATAGCCTAGCCATGGTCGTTTTTCGGCATAACTTCATGCTAAAAGCATTTCTTATGCAGAAATTTCCGTATACAGAAAAATAAGGAACACGAATCACTGTATCTTCAAATGTACACCCGGAAGGGTTTCGGTGCAATCATTCCTTATTGCAGATGCTCTTATTTTATAAGGCTAGAAGAAGGGGACAATACCTGGGGATAAATTGCGACGGTCCGGTATTCTCTCTCTTTTACCTACACTTGTACCTGGCTGGCGAGTGTTGTGCCTTTCTGTTTGCAGCTACTGACCAGACGTTTTCAACTGGTGAGAAATAATGGAGAACGTGCCAGATAAGGCAGAAGCTGAACATTCTGTTCGTTGAGTAATCAAAGGACAGCATACTACTCATGTTGTCACTCTCGGAGATCGATCGATGGAGACCTTGATTTTATGGCACAGTCACGGGCATTAAAACCTCAGTGACGCAATGTTTATTTTTAATACTCAATAATGTTTCTTCTCAACGGACGATGTACTTGATCAAAGTACTAAATATGCACATTAGAAATGAACGGGATGCCTACTTAATAGAACCCCATGCCATCAATCCAAGTGCTGGGCTATTAATTAATATGATGCTATTAATATGATGAAGGAAGCAATCTTTCAACGTTCGGCGCCCTGAGTGCCTCCATACATGGATATAGCCATCGCAACCGTAAAAAAAAAAAAAAAAAAAAAAAAAAAAAAAAAAAAAAACGGCGTTAGCCAGAAAAGGCATTGTCATGCAACTAACGCTTGAGTATGCGTCGTTGAACGCACCATTTTAAGCGCTGATCCCTGTGCCGTAGGATCAAGGGAAGCTGAAGAAATGGTAGCCTTACTTAAAATCTGTGGCACTGAAAGCATCGACACATTGTACGAAAACTTTATGCCTTGTTATACAACCGATTTCCTGATTGAACGTGATGTAGCAGCTGCAAATTCTCATAACAATCATTGGATCTCACCAACGAAAGCAGAAATTGTGCAGGACGATAATCCACAGTCTCAGTAAGCTATGATTCGAGGGCTAACACCGCCTTCAACGCAAAAAGAAAAGAGTAAACACGATTTCCAAATGCAAATTCGGTTTTTGTGCTGCTTTTTATACTCTTCGGGATATCACAAAGCTTACCTGTAGTGTACGTTTGTCATGATATGCTTACCATTGGCCAGTCTCAAGATGTTTGATCTTTTATGTTGAGTTTTATGCTAAACTCATGTTTTTTTGTGGGCCTTCTTCGTGGCATACATATTTTAATGATTATCTGCATATGGATTCCGAAAAACAAATTCTAAGTTCTTTAAATAATTAACTCCTAAACCTATGGAGTATGCTTTTTTAAGACCAGGAAAAGCAAAAATCAGCAATGCCCTTACGAGGATTTGAGCTCTGGACTTCACGACTGCCAGGCGGATGTGCTTCCAATTACACCTCAAAGACAAGCGGTAAGTAAAGAGAAAATTACTTACAAACTAACAAATGTATCCGTCAAATAGCACTTCTTTGTTTGAGCATAATGTTCGTCCCATGTTTCTCTTTTCACAATGACAACTAAGCTAGTCCATTCGCTCATAATAATACTTAATTTCAAATCAGCTGCATCCTCAGAACCTGTTGTAAGTAAAATATATTTATCATCCTGAAAAGTAACGATAATGGTGAGGAAAGGAGGTAAATGAAAACTATATTAACTAATTTATCATCAACGAATTCTATTCGCACTTTAAACTTCCAAATAAGGATAGATGAAAGACCCCTGATGTACTAAAGATTGAAGCAGAAGATGACTTTAAAAAATAAGTCATCTACAAAAAGAGTAAGATGACTATATTGCGAAGTCGAAGACTGAGCAAGAGAATTAATAGGCGAATCTGTAGTGTGTCCCAAAAGTAACGTGGGGTTTAAATTTACAAAACGAACTTTTATTTATGCTTGAATTGGCAAAGTTATGCCATGCTTTGTAAGCGTAAACATTCCAATTAAATATGGAAAATAATATCTGATAAATGTCTTCCACATCTCATATGGCAATCATATGACTCGAAAAAATCTGCAATCACATTTTCGCAGACTTGTCGCCAAGTTAGTTAACACATCGAATCTCTTCTTTAAGTTCAGGAATAGTTAGTATGCGTTTGCTGTAAACCCTGGTCTTTACAAAGCCCCAGAGATAAAAGTCATTCATGTAAGATCGCATGACTTTAGTGGCCAGTTGTTATCATTGTTGAGCGAAATTATCTGCCCATCAAATTTCTGCGAATTGAATAATTTCGCACGTAGCATGATATGTGGCTCTATGCTGTTGGAAGAACACCTCAGTGACATCAAGGCCACGGCTTACAATTGAGGCCACAAAAAATTTGATATCTCGCAATAACGTTCGCCATTGACAGTTACTGTAATCTGGTAACATGCTTACTCGATAGTTATACATTACCGCAGCGTGTGTTTCTCCATCACGACTAATTCAGTACTAGCTGGAATGTGGTAACTGCAACATTTACTTAAGGTAGCGTTGCCATCTTAAAGAAAAAAAAATCGCGTGCAGTTTAAAACCCGTGTTAATTTTGAAATACAGTCTGATTTGTCATTCATTCAAAAAGATAATAACATTTTCAGGCTACAGTGAAGTGCAACTCATTCTCGTCAGTTCGTCAGAACATAAGCTTTAAATATTTTTTGTTCGGAGAGCTTGAAGGATTATTTCAATTTTATAGCCCTCTGATTTATGTTAAAATTCCCTTTTCTATCATGCCTCGTTTACTTCCTTGCCAGCATGCGAATTTTCAGCACGCGCAATATTCAAATTAGATAGAAAGAAGGAATTACTTAAAGGAAGGTTTAGGAGAGTGATATCAAGGTGTGTTCTACCTGCTTGATGTCCACATAGTTAACTTTGATTTTCTAGCTGTTGGAATTCTGCAGCTTTGAGTTATTCTTGCCATTAGGCTTGTTTGCGCCGACTTCGGTAAGAGCTAAGTTGCGCGTTAGTTAATCTGTGAAACCGTTAGGCTAGACTTAAATTTGATTCAAAGACAAAAGTATTGGCTTCTCTAAGCAAGAGTTGGGGCTATCTGTTAAACTCTGTTTGGATTAACAAAAGGGTCCTTTACACACTTACTTACAAGACATAACGATAATTCGCATATGGTATTTTAGAGTTTAGGATCTAGTTTATGTTACTAGAAACCACCAAACCCTGTAAACTAATCGTTAAAATTATACTATAATATTTATTTAGGGAATTTAAAGCTATTTAACTAGTGCAGCAAATGCTCACTGGCATAACTACATTCCTAACAATGTCGATTTCAATTTTATTGGATTAAGTAGTCGTAACAAAGAATATATTTACTCGTCAGCTAACTAAATGATGATGTTTAAAAAAATATTTAATGTGCAGAAAAAAAAATTATATGACGAAGAAAGTATTTGACAGCACAGTGCTAAAAGGTTAGAAAACTACCGACGAGCATTAATTACAATAGTTGAAAATTAGATGGGTGGGTAACTAAAAGACAGCGTCATTTGTAACGAAATTTAAGGAAGGCTATAATAGAGCTGATAAATTTTCTAAGGCGGATTTCCGTAAGCTAGCATAAGATAACCTTTTCAAAGTTTAACAGTGCTCTTAAGAAAATGATACTGTTTAGTCCCAGACATTATATGACGCTTGCCCAGAAGAAAGACATATTTGATATTTTAACCATACTTTTCTTTTGTAATAATCATTACTTTGAGATCTTGCTCTACTATTCCTCTCTTTTCACAAAAGGCTCAAAACTTTAGATGCTTGATGAGAAAAGTGATCAATTGCTTAAATAATTTTTCCCGTTTTGATGAGCATTATTAAAATATATCCCATACCTCGTATCTGCTCAAAATGTTCAATTAACAAACAAACAAAAAAAGCCGTATTTTTTCCGTTAGCATTATATTTTCCATGTTATTATCTTCACTAAAGAGTTTAATACGTTTTAGTTCATATCATGCTAATAATATGACTGTAAATGTGTTTTGGTAATTTCGGCATTGTTTATTATATTTTAATGAATATATCCTTTCCTCGAAATTACCATAAGACCGAGTTACGCCACTTGTGCTCCGACCTTCTCAAGTACACAAATGCATAGAAATTTGACTTAACAACAATGAACAATAACGAACGTTTATATACACTTATAAAGCTTCTCAACCACTAAAAGATTTCCTAAGTTTGTACGTTTCATCACATTAACTTAAATTTATGCGCAAATATCGAGAAAAATTACTTACTCAGAATAAGATGCATTTCCTTGTATGAACATTAAAGTTACAAATAACGTTACATCTACCAGCAATCGAATGCAACTCTTCATTCCTCTCTCGCTTTAGTTTTTATTCGGTGTTGTAGTTTATTTGCCAGAGCAATGGCAGTCATCTGTAAAAAAGAAAGAATGTTATATCTGAAAGATGAAGTAAATATATGGGGAAGTTTCTGAGAAATGGACAAAATTTAGAAAACTTGAGTCTGATAATCTTTGCTCATATGTTCTTGTAAATATTTATTAATGAAATGGGTGAAGATAACTCAAATGTAGTTTTATGGAAAAGTGTGGTTTTGACTGAACTTAACTTAAGATAAGTAAAATTACGAGTTTACTGAAAGTTCCAAAATAATTTTCTAGCATAGACTTCTTTGAGATAATGCATTTGTATATTTAAATCTGCAGAATACCGTGCCAACAAACTTTTAACATCTGAAGGTAATATCAAAATGAAGGCCTCTAATTATCTCTTATCACTTTCACATTATTATTTGATGTATTATATTTTAGTTTTGCGCTCATCTAATACTAAAAGTCTCACTCACCTCACCTTCATTACATATCTATGTGATACGCGCCTATGAATCTTTTCTGTAAGCTTTGAGTAGGTAACCATTTAATGTGAAAGTAATTACCACCAGCTCAAAATCTCAAGTTTTAAGCTGAACTATAAAGGCTATTTTCATCTCTACTAACCTATATTAGCCTAGCTGATAAAATCGTTCTCAATAACTTAGCAGATTAAAGATAAAAATTAATATATCAGTTCAGTGCATTTAATAACAAGGGATAATTTGGGTATTTTTATTGTATGTTAAATTATCTTTTACCTGGAAAACTTTCAACTTCTAGTGTTTAGTTTGTTGATTGGATTGACAAGTCATCTGAAAATTCATTAGCTGACTGAGCCAAAATAGTTGCTATGGTATAGTAAAAATTTATAAATAACAAACAAAGAAAAATTTAAGACAAATTATTTTAGGAATTACTTTATTGATCTTCAGAATACGCATTAGATATATAGGGAAAAATTCAAGTCTCGTAATTAAAATATTTCGATAAAATGAAGATTTGGTTTTAATATTCTGCAAATGTAGTCGTTTGAATATATGCCCGAAATCTTAATTATCTTTTAATATGCCCTTTTATCTTAAAATAATAATGTAACAAAAAATTTTTATATTCAATTCCCATATTTGTTTTCCCTCTCCCATTTCTAAATTTTAATAACAGAATTAGGTTTTCTTCTGGTTTATTTCAATTTTCATGTCTCACTTTCACGTACTTAAACCTGCTTTAATTACCATATAAAGTTTTTCCACTTTTAGTTTCATTAAAAATTCCATTCAACAATTTTTTTTGTCCATCAATCAACATCTGGAGGTGAAAACTTCTAAACGATAATATTATATATTCCAATAATGTGAAGCTGGTCTACTTATAACATACCTCGCAGCCTTATCAACGTACCCTTCCGGAGGCAGTCGTCTTGCAATTTGGCTTTAGTTAAAGCCAAACGCATCGCTACACGTTGATTATGTAGAAGGTTTTATGAAGAGATAATCATTTATATATGGCGGGCACTTGCCATTTTAGGCTTTGGTTATTGCTAAGGCCAGACGCGGTGGTCATTTTATTATGGAGGAATGTAATATGTGGCCAACGTTACCTCCTATAAAGGAACAGAGAATTTTTATCCATGCCTTCTCCGGGATTCGAACCCTTCGAAACCGCAGTAAGAGTCATTAACCGTTTTCCAGTCTGGGAGGCATGTATAGATGACTGATTTTTGCTGCTTATATTTGGAGGTTTGGGGAATTTGCCGGTACAAAATATGAATACAAATATGCTTCATTAAAGGATAAGAGTGGGTCATCTTGCATAAGATACAACCCAGCAGATTAGTAAAAGAATGAATTAAAACATAAAAGAAGCAAGTTTTTCTAGACCAGGGATCCTTAACTTTTTTTTGGCCCCATGCACCCCTTTCACCATTGCTGGAAGATCACTCTCCCTCCTTTCAAAAAATCTAAAAATAAATATATACCATTTATCTAGATTTAGGTGATTTTTAACATGTTTAATAAATTAAACTTTCCTTCCTGAAACTATGAAATTCCTTCTTGGTTGAGAACTTCTGCTCTAGATCAACTTGGTGAAGCACTTGATGGATGTATAAGTCGAGAATCGAGATATCATTTTATTTCCTGATCGATGCAAAGCTTTTCAACATCTGAGTCACATCAATTGACATCAGTTGTCATTTTAAGCCAGAGAATAAAACAATGTATTCCACTCTGTTTGACAACTATATGCTTACTAGAATTTTAACTGATATGGCAAATAAAATAATTTATATGCTTCCTTTTTTGAAATAATTGTCATCATTTTTTTAATTTAATTAGTTCTTTTTTAATTATTTTTTTTAAGATTCTCCTAATTGGTCTAGAATTGTATAACCTTTCTGCACCGGTATGTATTAGTGTATGTTCTTATTCCGATTGAAGTTTCCCAAGCATTTAATTAATGTGAATGCAAAAAACGTTTTCCGGAAAAGCAGTCTTTAATAAGATCATGACTGCCTGCCATAATAAATAACTGATCTTATTTTGGTAATACAAATCTATTAACTGAAAAATTTGTTTTTGTAAGAATCATGTATTACTAGCTAGTGTGAACATTCTTGTTTTTTCACAAGGTATAGTTTGAATTACAATTATACATTAACAAGATAGGAATTAAATGCATAGGTTTTTGCATTCATCTGTTAGAGAAAAATTTTCGACAGTTTTTGTTTACTCATATCAGTTACAAAGCAGTGTCTCAACCAATCACTTCATAGATAATCTTTCATTTATTTTTTTCATAAAGAAATGATTTTGCATATCTGTTCCCTTTCTTAGAAATATTAAAAGTTATTTTTAATGAAGACACTATCATTTTCATTTTTACAATTCCTTCACAGTTCTAATTTTTCTAAACATATTACTATTTTACGAAATGTTTATTTTTCCCATTTCGGGACGATGACATTTAAATAACGAATGTCAGATAATTAGGATGAAATACATACAGTTTTCAAACATATTTATATACTTGTCAATGCTAATTATTCTAAGTTTTCTTTTCAAACTAAGTACTTGCTATGCTTGCTTTGAATTATGCTGTTATTTATTTGCTAACATTTAAGTTAAATATTTTTAAGGTATTGGTATTATACATATTTCAAATATTAAAGATTATAACTTACCATGCAAGTAATTTTCAATGCAGGTAATTTGTATCAACTATAATGCAAGTAATTATAATGCAAGTAATTTTCGAAATCCTTATTAAATTGCAACGAAATTATACGTTTCTCTTGAAGCCTGGATTAACAGCTCGATGCTGTCTTTTTCATGCATCTCAGATAAATGTCATGAAGAAATGAATGATTGACATGGAAGTCAAATTTTCAGACTGTGGTGACATCTTCATTGCAAGATTAAAAAAAATGAGAAAATAGTTTGTTGACTGGCTATTAGGTTAAAGTAAAGCCCTAGAGGGCTATCTGCCTAATGAGATGGTTGCATTCGTGAAGAAGTTTCTAAGGAAAAATGCTTAGCATTGACATACACGTGGGTAAAACGATGGAAATTTTGTTCAGCGGGCCCACTCGGCAGAATTTGAACGCAGATCGATCTACTAGTATTCAGCAGTCTTAAGTCCTTAATGCTAAAATCTGCAGCTAAAATTAGAAGACAATTTAATATCACGAGAACTCCGTAGAAATTAATGCAATTAAACCTTACTAGGTTCTTATAAAGAATGTAGTTACTTAATTTCATTACTGTCACCGACATTTATAGATTACATTAAGAAAAATTATGTCACAAAATTAATTTCTTTCTTACTAATTCTAAATACATTATTAAAGTTGTCCCGTAAAAATACGCATCTTACTTATGTGATAAGTCTAATTACACATTATGCATGGAAAAGGTGTCTTGCAAATACCCCGTATAAAACTGTAATATATAACAAAGACTAATAATGTACGCTAATAATTGATTTTTCCCTGCGTTCTTGGAAGAAATAGAAATTTATATCTTTGTTTGCTGAAACATTTTGCAATATAGTTACAATGCCGCATCGATGCGAGAGTAAATTTGTATTGCATCGGGAAATGAAATATTGCCTATCAAATTCTTACACATTGCAGTTACTCCTTTAATAATATACATGGAAAATATATACAATTTCTTTAATTTTTGTAAATTTAGAACATAAATTAAAATGAGCGTAAATAATAAATAATTCGAAATAATGTAAACATGATGCAAAAGTTTTTCTTCTTACCTTTTCCTTGTCAGAATGTCTATTTAATCCGTTTTGATTTCACACTGACTTCCATTCAAGTTTTAGTTTAGAATAGTTTGGTGTATAGATTAATTTCAGATCCTTTAAAATTATATTTTTGGCGTACTGTAAAATCAATCGTTTAAGCATTTTTGTTAATAGCCTTGTTGAAGTATTGCTTTACACCTCTCACAACTTCGGATAAAGGCTACAAGTCTTCTATGGCCTTCCAGTATCTCTTCTACATTATAAATTTATTTTACACATCCAGTAATTATTTTCTTCATTTTAATGTCAATCAATTATTCAACCGAGAAATGTATTGTAGAAAACTTCCAATGTACAGGTGAAGGGTACGATGGGATACCGCAACAAGTTCATTCTTATTCTTCGTCTCCAGATATTTCGATAACGACACTCAGCAACACTTCACCTGTTTTCCAAGTTAATGTATGTCTCAATTAAAAATTTAAATCGCTTTTAGTTAAATCCATTGACACGAATTATGATACTTAATTTTTATTAATAATTAATTTTTAAAGAAAACTTAGTATCATTGATTTCACTCAACTTTCCCTAGAGGAAACGGTTTGTAGTCTCATGAAGTCCTTGCCAGGTTTCTGTCATTATTGATCGCGGAGAAAAAATAATCCAGTAATCTTGTTAGGGAAAAAGATTGGGAGACAGGATTTTGTGGAAAATGAAATAGCTATCACAAGAGTTCGTTATCTGATTAATGTCGAAAGGACAGCACTAAATTCAGCATTCGTACGGCATTACGATGAAATGTATCCCAAGATTAAATCTGAATGTTAGAATATAGGTAAAATCTACATATTAGACAAGAAAAAACGAATGTTTGAAGTCTGAAAAGAACTCTGATAAAATCCTACGTTAAATCATAGCTTCTTGCTAATAGTTGACCTGATCTGAAGATATTCGGATAACTTAAAGCAACGAAACCTGTTTAGGATTTTAATAGATTGTGTTTTTTATGATTTGCGGCAGATTTAACGAATATGCAGTTCTAAGCAGAAAACTTTTATTTATTTAAGATGAATTATATATTTGATATATTTTGTTTACACTAGAAAGAGTTTGGTATTTACTTAAAGACTATAAGTTGAGCAATTTTACAAAACCATATTCTTTGACTACCAAATTTGATTTCATATGTTATAAATGTGTGACTTAAGGAAAATCACTGTCACAAGTCTGAATAATCATTAGACGTTCAAAAGTAACGTCTCATTAAGCGGCAAATGATTAAACAGAAGTAATTTGATTATCCTAAACCCGAGATTCTGTTTTTCTTTTTTTTTTCCATGAAGTATCGCAAGAGTTTAATATGCTTATTTATTGCAGACTTAATAATTAACCAAGTAATATTTTACCTTTTTCTCGCCACCCAACCGGGGTAGTGGTTAGCGCCACTGACTATAGTGCCGAAATGCCCAGGTTTGAATCCCGGAGAAGGCACAGATGTTTGTAAATGTATAGTGTCTGCTAGGCATGGGGGCATTCTAAATGTGTAACGAGATGAAAGTTTCCTCGAGAGATTATTGGTAGGGGAAGAGGGATGAGAGACCCTCTGTCCCGTCCGCCAGGGGTTCTTTCCTTCAAAATTGGGGGCGGAACTCAGAAGAAGTCGTATTGTCACTTAGATGGTGCTCAAGGCTCTTGCCAACGACGGGCGCAATCTTGATCCCTTGTTACGATGAATTTCGTGGGCTTGCTCTGATATCAGACAGACCTGATCTAATGTTACTGTCGATCTCGTGGCCCCCCGGGGGTTGACTCAGGCGAACGCCTGGGAAGTACTGGCTAGGATCTGTACCTAGGCAGTCTCAACCACGGGGGTATAACAAATTATCTTCACAGGACTAGAACCCGAGTTTATACTCAGGTAGGTTCAGGCTTGGCAGGGACCGTACTGGTAATGTCGTGTCCCTTCCTTCGGCTGTTGTGGAGCTAATAGTGGATGTAGTCGGGCCTTTTGTTGGAGGTTCAGATTTCTCAGTCTTCGTAGCGGGGACTGACATGGCAAGGAGGAGCACAGATTTACTTGCTGATTAACGATTCTTGCTGAGGGAGTGGTGCCCCGAGGCAAAGGTGACTGAGCGTACTTTTTAACTTGCAAGCGGTGAATTTTTGTTCCTCTGGGGCTTTGTATAAAGCCGGGCAGAGACTGTGGGGCCTGCGCCGCCACTAAGAGGTCTTCTACGACCTGGATAAATAACCTCGTATGGCATGCTGGGTTGAAATACCCTGACCCGGGCCGAGGGTCACTGAAGTAGTGCACCTGTCGATCGCGTGGGATAAGCCACAAACACAAACAAACCTTTTTATTGGCTCATTATATTATGTGCATTAAAGTTTCGAAATGTTCTGCACTCAGACTACAAGTTCAGTTTTTGGAGGAAGAATGGGCTTGCTATACATCTCTGCCTGTAAAGACTGTAAAAGTATACTCCTTAGAAAATCCTCCATAAAAACCATTGCTCAGACAGCTGTAGTCAAAAGGTGCTTTGCTACACCTAAATAATTATTACCTTACTCTTATTCAAACAAGACATCAATATAACTAGGTTTGCTATAATGTGATTAATTGTCGCAACACCCTGACCATCAGACAAGCATGTCTACATGCAACCCCAGGTTATTTGTCAATGACCTGGAATGAATCTGATTGGTTAAAATTATCAAAAGAAAAGAAAATCGAACAAGTGTATTTTGATCGCAGAGACATAAAAGAAATGCAGAATAAAATCAAATCGGCTTGATGGAAAATTGCTTTAAGTCTTCAATTTAAAAATAATGACGCAATAAAAGAAGGTATGCTTATAAAGGTGAAAAATCACATCAACAAATTACTACTACAGTCAGTCCTGTCTCAACAGAAATCTGAGTTAACTGAAAATTAACGTATGCTTAAAATCATTTAGTAAGGGAACTGAAATTGAGAAAAAGATGGAAAATTGATATGCTTATATTATAATACTTTACTTAGATATTTTATGGTAAACAGCTTACGTATTTTTTCTCAATGACGGGCTCTAGCCATTTATAGACGTTGGCCACTACTAAGACTGCAAGAGGTGGCCTCTTTATTATGAAAGCTTCTAATAGGTGAGCTACCGTTGTCTCTTATGAAGGGGCGCACGAATTACATCCATGCCTTCTTCCGGGATTCGAACTCGGCCTTTCGTTAAGGTAGTCAGTATCACTAGCCACTTTCTCATCTGGTCGGCAAAATGGCTTCTTTATAGTGCTGTGGATACAATATCTACATTGTTTTTTTCATACTGCTTTACCTGAATTGAATCTACAGCATCATCAATGACTGAATGTATATTTGTGGCTAAAATATAAATATCGCGCATAATTTCACTTTCGGATACGAGCTAAATCTAAATAATATAATATATAGAGGAAAATTTAAATAGATGTTTACCTTTTAATTAATAAAACATAATATGAAAACGCATCGAATGCATATATGTTCTGAGAATAAATGAAAAAGGGGATCGAGAGAGAGAGAAAGAATTGTCGAAAAAGGGGTGCGATCTTCTATCATCCATTGCTTATCTTCTAGACTGTATTGCTGTTTCTAGGATATCCCTGTATATTTTGACAGAGCCCCAAAACCCAAACTATTCTCTCCACGCAAATGTTTCCGGATTTATGCTGAGAATTTCCTGAAAAAAATTCACTATTTTCTAGAACACCAGATATATTCCTGTTGAACTATTTTGATGATTTAGTCTTGTAAATTGTATCAAATCAAAAACCTAACTCAAATCTAGTAAATTGTATCAAAACCTGACTCTTTTTGCTTAACTCACGCAGAAAAATACTTCTTCCTCATAACTTTTAGTGTATTACAAATTGCTTTAACCAGGTCTTTTTATTTAAGCTTTAATGTAATATGGAATTTAATAGACAGGCTGGTTTTATCTGCCTCTGTTTTATCTCGTATTGACTGGATTTGTTTAATAACTGGATTTTTTAATTTAATTTTAAATGTAATCTGTAAATTCTAAAACAGAAGTTTTTTAATGTATTATCACGTACATTAATAAAATTTTATTAATTCAATCACAAATTTGTTAAGCACTTTATATTATGAACAAATTATTACGATATAAACCTTCACTTTAACTTCTGTCTGTATTCCTCGCGAAAATGCAAATTAGCTTTTCATGTGTTTGAGCTGAAGGTTTTGAATATTTACACTGCTGGCCACCCAAATTGCAACACCAAGAAAGACAAGAGATATCACAACAAAATTTATTTAGTAGATAACATGTTGACCAAGTATCAAATGATTAAATTTATAGACTTCTGTGAAGTGTGGTTCTTTCCCAGAATCAGTAGCCAGAGTAGCCGCCCCCATTGTTGGAGATCACCGCTGCCACACACCTCGACACTGATTCAAAGAGACTTTGGATGTGTTCTTGAGGGTTGTAGGAAAAAATGTCACCCGGAAAAAAGGGAAACGGAAAGAATATCCCTGGAAAATAAGGAACGGAAAAAATGTCCCCCTTCGTTTGCAATGGGAAATATAAGGCATGTTTAGAAAGACGTTCATTCAACGTTCTTTGCTTGCGAATACTAATTTCTGGTCTAATGTAAGTGCATCTAGGATTCAGCCCCTTCCCTCGCCATAAACAGAGTTCGTTTGAGATAAATTTAAATGTCTGTATTAAATAGTATGAAGAATTTGTTTAAATTTCAAAACAGCAAATCACTTTTCTTTCAGAATGATTTACTATTATTAAATGTTGCATTATTATGTTAAATCAGATCATTAAACGCGCATGTTCTCTAACTAAGAATATGTAACAAATCATACATATATAATTATATTGAACTCGGGTGAACGTTCATGTATTCGTTATAGCTACTTCCCATTAATATATGTCTTAGGTTTATATGTATTGTACAGTATTGCTTTCCTGCATTTAAAGTTGATGACAGTACACTATAATTGTCTATCACAGAGTGAAGATACAAAAATTCTTAGCTTTCTGTATGTGGAAAAATAAAGTAGAAAACTAGCCAGGCGAAAAATACAAGGAAAAAATACTTGCTAGAAGCATTATTATTTATAATAAAAACAGCTTTAAAATTGCTTATTTTATGTAACCTAACATCGAAATATTTTCCTTTTGTCGACATTGCCTTTCTCGTAATTAGGAATTAAAGGTTAGTCAAACGAATATTATATTGTTATAAAAGCATCCTTGGCAGGCTTAAAGGATTGGCAGTATTTTTGCGGATCTGATTCGAGGCTGTTTTAAACCAGATAACGGAAGTTATTGCTTCGAGTTTCTTGGTAAGCGCATTCTTTGAACCACTTTTGCAAAATCAAATATATCAGGTAAATTAAACACGGATAATTTTCAGTGCTAAATACCTTTTATACTTCAAAAAATTTCCTTTATTTATATCAGAATAGCTGAAGTTATCTCATTACTGCAGCACTGTAATAAGAACGAGTTTTATTCTAGGTGCTTGTCATGTCGTGATGAATAAATATTTTTAATACACTGATCATAACTTTCCTTAAGGGGGCTCATACACCTTAAACCCCTCATGATCTTCGAATATGTGACTGTTGCAAGAATTGCGATATTTTATTTATTTTAAAAGCAATTACTTCCAACCTTTTACAGCTGACTACATAATATAGCTGCTTTGTAAACTAGTAACCAGAAAGTTTGTGTTGCCACAAATATTTTTGTAAATTAATCCTCTTTGTGACAAAATATTTCGCCACGTTTCCACCTTGCGCGCATGATATTTTAAAAATGGCTAATGATACATACATGAAATTTGTTGGAATTCTTTATATGGGCACTATTTTCTAACTGAATCAAAAATCTGATGAATATTTTAATATTAAAAAATTTTATGGATGAAAACATTACAGATTTTTGTAATAAAATACATTTTATAAACTCAACCCCAAATAAAATAAATATGTAACATAAAATTCTTACAATTTTAGGTTCACAGTAGTTTCCAAATGTTATGAAAGCTATATATTAAATATGGAATTAACTTATGCAACAGAATATTTTAAACTGTGCGCGAAAACTTTTGTCACAAAGCGGATTAAATTATCAAAATGTTTGTGGCAACACAAACTTTCTGATTACTATTTCAGAAAGCAGCTATATTATGTAGTCAGCTGTAAAAAGTTGGAAGTAGTTGCTTTTAAAATAAATAAGTTATCTCAATTCTTGCAAAAGTCACATATTCGATGATCTTATGGGTTTTAAGGTGTATGAGTCCCCTTAACTTTAATCAGAAGTAAATATCTTAATAATAGGCTTGCATAGAACTTAATGGGTGGTTAAAACACCAGTAATTTTGTTCAGGTTCGATTATTGGTTGAATGGCCTCACAATATGTATATTTTTATAGATTATGTTATGTGTAATATGAATTTGACGCAGTTCTGTCAGAAAGCTCTGCATGAAAAACCTTAAGATAGATGGATATCTTAAGGTTTTTCAGATTTTAAGAAAGATGGATTTCTTCTGTTATTAAATACTTACGCATAAAGCTTCACTGTCATCGTCAGATGAATGACGAATCTTAAGCTACAATAATTTGGTTTTGCAAAAAACGTAAGACACCGCTTAATGCTGGAGATACGTTCCAGGTATGTTCTAGAGCTAAACGAAACAGCTGAATAAAGTCAACTTAACACGTAAATATTGGAGATATGTGAAACAGAAGATAGAAGAAAATTTATCATTTCTTATTTATTTTGTAACATTTATTATTAAATACACTTTTATTGCATTAATTATAGACTTTATTTATTGCTAATATCGATTTTTATTCATAAAAAATTCATGGAAAGTTGTTTTTTGCTCCTCATCTTTAGAAAGGCTAATTTCGTCATCTTCGTGCACTTCTTCTTCTACTAATTCCTTAACGTCATAGTTGGAAAGACTTTCACTAGCTGAAACTTAACAGTAATTCTTCAGTAACCCGCATTCATAGTATCTAACCCTGTTTAATTAGCTATAGCTTGACAATTTCGTCGACATCAGCAGTGGATTTTCTTGTGTCAATATTCTGGCTTAGCTCCGGGCATGTAGTTTTCCATACTCCTTTCAAACACTCCTTGATTCCAGGAAAGATTGATTCTGTCTACAGCAGCCATGATATTGTAGTTTTTCCCAAAATCTGTAATGGACTGTTAATCTTCTCCATCAGTTATATGTCGGGATGTCCGCTTCAGATAATAAACTTTAAAATTTGATATTACGCTTTGATTCATTGGCTGGATTAAAGAAGTTGCGCTTGGAGGCAAGAAAACCAATTCTACTGAAATCGGTGCTGCTAAGTCAGACAAATGCGTTGGATGGTTTTAAGCATTATCAATCAAAAGTAAAGTTTTCGGTCTAATTTTTTTTAAATCCGTAGTAACGTTTGATAGATGGGCAAAAATATTCGTTAAACTAGTTCTACAAAATTTTTACAGTGATTCAAGATATTTTTGTTGGACTCCCAAATTATTGGTAAAGATAATTTTGTATTTCCCTTCAATGCTTTTGAGGTTTTGGAATGATAAACAACCAGTGATTTTAATTTAATGTCTGCATTAGCTTTACCACAAAGTAGCAATGTTAAATGATCTTTTGCAGCTTCAAATCCTAAACCAACCCTGCAATACTGATACCGTGTGAGAATTCAGGAATCCCAATTTTAACACGCAATACTGAAACAACGTTAAGCGAGATCTTACTAGATACTTAAGTGCACTTTGTTACACACGGTTCATACATGTTGTACAGTGATAGTTGTGTAAGATGTGTTAATTTCAATGAATTCCTGAAACTTAAAACTGCGTGAAACCTAAAGAAGGCTATGACTTTATAATTCAGAAAAAATACTTACTCAAAAAGTAAAATCTAGAAGCAATAATGTGTGTTTATGTAAACTAAAATTGCATAAAAACTTAACAGATCTAGGCTTTTAAAAAGAAAATGCTTTCTAAAAATTAATGTTTTCTTTATAGATATTTTCTCTTTTTCGTAGAATATTGATTTTTTATTATGTAAAAAAAATTATCATTTTTGTAATTGGCTACAGCCTTTTAAAATGAAATTCTTTTCCCTATTTCGCTGAAATCAAGCGTGTTAAGTAACAAGTATTTTACTTCAGTTATAAATGATATTTAAACTCTTTAAACTTTTAACTCTTTTTCTTGCGAAAAACTATTTATTTTCATGCATAAAATTGACCCATTAATTTACCTCTGACTAATAAGGAAAGAACACATAGTTTAAGTTACAAATGATTTATCTTTATAAATAAATTTTAATGCAATCTTTTACATTTCAGATTATAAGCCATGCAAGAAATATTCAAAGTGACAAGAAAGGATGAATTCCAATTGCTGATAAACATTTAATCAGAAGCATTAAAATTTTGAAGCGTTTGTTGCAGTGTTTGGACTTAGCTTTTTTGAACTGACATACATAGAAGATACTTTTCAAATCAGTAAATCACATACAGCTTTAAAATTGATGAAAATATGTGAAATAAAAGTATAATTGCATTAAAAATATTCATATGAAATCATGAATTAATTATTTTTGGCAATGAGCACAGAATAAGAGGCTATGAAATAAAAAATGTCATTTCATGCTTAAGACAGCACAAGATAAATGTTGCAGCCTATTAAATACTGACTAGAACATCATCTGTAAGTAAAAAAATGTCACCAATACCATAAGTTCAAATGGTATGTAAAAGAATTAATTACAATAATTTCAAATTTAATTTTCAAACCTTAAGTGAAAAATATGCAATAATAGTTTGGAAAATACGACTAAAAAGAAAACAAATATTCTGCGTTAAAAATCTTAATCGTTATTTAGAACGGAGATTAAATCAATCATATAAAATGAACCTAGATTGTGCTAAAATATGAAAGGTAAATGTTAAAATGCTATTTGGCACATCTGATGCCAAAATAAATAACTGTATAAAATTTTTAAATATATTTATATAACATAACTGAATTTCATTGCAATACATTCAGTAAAAATTCCTAATTATTCCTAACAATAGCATTTAAACAACAACGCTGTGTAGTTCATTAAAGTTTTGTCTGTACCAAAATCTAAAGAACATAAAATTTAATATATTTTCACGAAACGTATGTAAATTACGGAAACGCTATTTGTTTAAGATTATAACACATGGTTGCTAAAAGTGACCATATCCAAGCAATAACGTTCGGCCTACATCTTTGGCAATGGTCGTTTAGGTTTCTTGATTTAACACATGTGAATTCTTCCTTCGGAAGGTATATTAAAGATTATTTTTTCGTATATATCCCTACAGCAGACAACCCTCGTACTGCTCAGGGAAAGTATCATTGTTGTTGTGACGACTATTGACAAGATGAAAGGCTAGAGAGCGCATAGACTGATTTCGATTACTCTTGGATGTGTGTTGCGTAATTACACATAAAACATTTATACGGTGTATGGAAAATTTGGCAAGTTTCTGGTTCTTTTCATATATCAATTATTATTGTATGAGTAATACAGTGCTTCGAAATCCGATGAATGTATTAGTAGCCCGTAAGTATTCGCACAAGGACTTCGCTGAGCTTTATTTAAAAACCCTCGTTTAGCTTGACCTAGCCTTTACACTCCGTGACTCTTTTTTAGCATGAAAAGCCGAGACATTTTCATCCAGTGATTTTTAGCTTTAATCGTATTCTTCCTTAAATAACCTCTATTTTTAAAACCACTTTGGGTCTTAGGGATTCGATTTTGATGATGGAGGGCGCTGGTCAGCATGACCCTACAATAGAGAAATAGCGTTATGTTGTGTAATATTTGTGCCTCAGTAGGGAAAATAATATAGTGCAAATGATCAGTAATTTTTATACTTAAGCTTTTTGCACTGATCTATTTTATAGTTGGTTAATGATTATCAAATTTAGTACACGTATGTTGTGAAATTATGCAAGAGAGTTCTGACTAACCAACATTTGGTTTTACCTGATATAACACTGAGACCCTATTCGTACTGGAACTTCATACTGATTATTTCTAAAATTATTATTTCTTCTACTGTAAAACGTATACGGCTCAAGACATAGCACCTAATTTTATAAAGACCATGCTCTGTATCGCAGTGGACCTATTTTTGTTCTTCCATGAGGTTATTTTACTTCTGTGTGCATAAAAGGTGAAATTAGATACTAATTTCAGTGTGGAATGGTTATGACTGTCTTTTATCGCATCGGATTTCTAAGACTTATTTTTTAATTTGTTCAATTATTTCCTTCCTCTATTGCATGGACGTTTTGTTTTAATAACCGAACCTCGATAGTTCCTCCTTATCCGCAATTCTCGGTTATTCGTTGCTACCGTTCGGTCTTATTTATGTCGTATAACTGGTACTCTACCGTGCCGAAGATATGTTTTCATGTTATTTTTGATGTCAAATTGAGCTTATTACAGACGCTTTCTTTCTAAGGGAGTTCTTTCTAAGTTTTTTTCCTAAGAACTAAATTATCACATGTTACATCTCAAGGCCACCGCATCTCTCCCTTTCGTCTCTCTTAACAATGATCATGATCCCCATGCTGAATTTGCTTTTCTCACTTCAGTTGAATTTGATTTAAAATAGAATGAAAACAAACTAACCAGACGTAAAGTGAGAACGTTAAGTTCGAGGACTCGAATCTCTTCAGCAGAAGACGTTATCGTAGTTACGACTGAAGACGGGAGAACACGAAACCTTGAAAGCCTTTTTTAAAAAACTTATTAAATTATGCCGGTTAAAATAAAGGCATTCATTATATAATGATATTAAAACTATAACATTTCATTTATGTAAAATAATCTAACTTCCTTTAACTAAAAATAAACAAGTTGAAACGTCTTTCAGAATTAGAATTGTGTTGTGCTTAATTCTTTTCATAACAACTCTCTATTTATAAAATACATAAAAAGAAAGTCATTTCACGCATGAGAGATGTAAATTACAGTCATTGTGAAACGGAGTTTTTTTAAGCCATGCTTGACGAAGTTAACACTTGAGGTGGAACTTAGAACAAATTTCCTTTATTGATGTGCCATGACTAAGTTCCGTATTCTCCTTTTCTTGCAAGCTACCGACGACAGAAGTAAACAAAATAGCAAATACAAAATATCAGGAAAAAAAGTGGGAAGATCAATCTTGATGCCTTGTCAATGGCTTGGTGAGAAATTTTCGAAGATTCGGCACTGCGAGTAGGGGACTTCCCAGCTTCGCTGTCATTGCAGGAGCCTTTCGATGGATGGAAAAGTTTCTGTGAGGAAAACAAGAAAAATAAATGTACAGGAAAAATGCACGAAATAGTTGAAATTTTACATTATTTTTGATAAGCATGTTATATCTGACTATTAAAAAACATTTCGAGATTTCTTTTGCCTCACTATAGGTATTATTATTCACTGTCGCCTTTGACATTAATGTTTGCACTTGCATATCCTCCTTTCTGCGGTGTAGTAACGATCGTCCTCTGTGGTACGTCCTGGACAACGTTCTTTATAATGAGACGGCTAAATCAACAGTGGCTTCGGTCCCCAAGAAAGTTTACATACAGAGCAATCGCATTTAAGATTTAAAAGGAAAAAAAAAATGGAAACCATCTCTTTTTTGTCCGTTTTTTTGGTCCATTTGTCCAAGTCTCTTACCCACGGACCTATCGGAGATGCTACAAGGAGGTAAAAAGAGATCAGAGATATCCATGAAAAGAAAGATAATTAAAGTTGTCGTTGTTCCAGATGGTTAGACACTTGCAAATTAATGCATTTTTACAGAATGGGCAACACTCATTGTCATTTAGCTGTCTCAGTAATGTAAATTAATGCTCAGTACCGCAGGCAGCGACCGAATTACACCTTTGAGAAAGGGGAAGATATATCCCAGTTTTGATGGAGTTTACGTGATGGAGATCCTACGGTGATGGAGTGATGGAGATCCTACGGTACGTTTTCGAGAATCTTCAGTCCTCTTCCCCTTACACAGAACCTCTCGAAATGACTTTTGGCTACATAGCATTTTAAGTGCCTCCATACTGCACACACTTACAAACATTCCAGCAATTTTCGAGATTTAAACCCAGCCCAACGATATGGCAGCCACATACATAGATAATTCAGGTTTTCTACGTAGTTTAAAATTAAAATAGTAAGAAAAAAAATAATTTGCATTATTTGTCTTGCCTTCCATCAATCTAAAAACTCAACTTATAGGGGGTAAATACGATATGCAATAAATATTTGTTAAAAAGAAACTTATTGCTTTCTTTCGTAGCCAAAAATGCACATGTTCTGTTGGTTAAAAATTGAAGATCTAATATCTGAGTTACAAAAGACCTCAAACACGGAAACTAACAACGGGTAATCAGTAATACGGCCAATAATCAATAAACTAACAACGGGTAATCAATAATTCTCATTATTAGAACCTGAAGGTTATACAAGATGTTTGGAAAAAACAACACGAGCCTCCATACGATCAAATTTTCTTGAGATTTCTTTCACTAAAAGTTTGAGGAACCTACATAAACATGGCCGAAAATAAATAGATATGTTAAGTTTATTATTGAAAATTTCTAAGAAGTACCTTTCACGTCAGAAAAGCCTGTGGAAAAAAAATAGAAATGAAAAAAAAAAATATTTTTTTAAATGGAGTTTAAACTTCCTATTCGTAGAAATGCTAATTCAAATTTTGGTACTATTCGGTTTTGAAGTGCATAAACTGTCGCCAAACTATTGTTGATGCCAGTGCTGCCAAAAATAATTGCGGCAACCCTAACGCAAGAAAGGAAGTATAATAGTAAATAACTATTTAAGATTGATGTTTTAATTTAGATGAAAGGTTAATTTCATACAATACTTTTTTATTATTATAATTTATATAACAAAGGCTAAACATGACTGAATGGAAGCCTACGAGTAAATAACATTTTCAGATCATTATTATACTATATATAAAAATTGCTAAACATAACTGAATGGAATCAATGAATGCCTGCATCGCTATTTCGCTACCGATTTATCGCTAAAGCATACTTTCATCTCGTTGGTTATTTAAACATAATTTTCTATAATGAATGATGCCTTTTCTTCTTTGAAAAAATTCTCGGTAAAGTGCAGAATCGCCCACTTATTTTGTTTGTCGCTTTTTACAAGGGTAAAAACAATTGGATTTTTGTCAATATTCTTTTACTTTTTAAGCGAAAATAGGTCGATGTGTACATAGATAAAGTCAAGAGTGTGCGCAGTGCCATTTTCGTGCAATTCTGGGATTTTTTTTTTTTTTTTTTTTTGAAGTGAAAATTGGTCGATGTGTACATGGATACCGAGTATGTGCAATTCTTAAAAACGCGTCAAGCAGTGGGTGATTCTGCACTTTACCCAAAATTCTATTGCACACTTTTCGTCACGGGCAATTCCCAAATTGTTAAATCCGTAGGCTATCAAAAAAGAATTTAAAATCAAAAAAAGGATTTAAAAATTAAACTAGTATTTCAATGGCGTCTTAAGAAATATAGAACTATATAAACTTACGCAATCTGAAATCAGCGCGTACGTTAAATTTGGCGCGCTGTTAAATGGCCGCGTTTGCTAGATTTGGCGCTTTTGCGCATACATTTTTGCTGCAATTTTTTTACTGTCCTCAAAACGGAATATTACCCAAATTTTTTAATGAAGTTCATAATTTATACATTTAGAAACTCAAGTTTAAATCGTTTCTTTTTCGTGATGTAAGAATTTAGGTCATATAATTTTGATAATTTTTTCCATGGTCATTTTTTATTTCTACAAATCCTTTTCGTCTTCAAAATGGAATCATGGCTTCAGTAGGAAAGTAGAAATTTATTATTTAAAGTATTTTGATATATCGCTTTATAAAAATTTAATTTCTTTCAGTTTTATAAAAAACGTTGGGTGACTAAAACTGTCATCATAAGAAAATATAATTTATTTGGTTTATTTTTTAAACAGAAATCATAGTTCTAGGGTCATGTTTCCAGCCAAGAGAACTTTTCATGAGACATTTAATCAAGCTGTGCTTTTGAGCATCCTACATTTGGATCCGGTTTGTTTGAAATGACGTAACTTATTTTTCATGAAGTATACATAAAAATCTTTTATCATTGTTTCATTAGAAGTTAAGTTTTTAGTTTTCATAAAAGTAAGCTCTTAAAGCTGAAGCGTATGCTCAAGAAATACTTGTATCTCTTTATAATTCGCATCATGAATGGGATATTTTCATTTTTAAATACAGTATGGAAGATATATTAGCATGTTCTGCAGTAAATACTTATTACATATAATGGCGTATCAGTATGAATGGGAACATTATGCAGTGAAATTGCATATTGATGAGGCTTACTTTAAAAGAATAATTGTTTTCAATTAAAAGAAAAATACAAAAAATGATAAAAATGACTCATTTTAAATTCGTTGGTCCTAATTAAGGTAGAATAATTAAAAGTGGGATCGAAACTGAATATTACCAGTAGATGAAAAGAAACAGACTTTAATTACATGGGTTTTGGGAGTAGTAGCAGGAGTCAAAATTTCTGCTCACTAAATTTTTCTATGCTAATAACACGCAGTACATTGCGCTGTTATTTATTCAGCGATTCTTCGTGTTGATATGATCCGTATAATGACTGTGCTCTATTTTGCATGCATAAGTTGTTTTTAACTTGAGCGGGGAAACTAAGCGGAGAAAAATGCAAATGAACATTTACCATTTAACAGGGGTGAAATAACTGGTCTCTCTTATTCATTGAAAGCTTATTAGCATAATATACTAATTATGTTATCAGTAAACGAGACTGATATTTTCTGCGTAATAATTTAAAACATTTCTTCCTTGAATTTTAAAGATAGCTCAATATTTAATTTATTTCAGATTATTAATAATTTTCCATGTTGCAGAAAATTTATGAAAGAAAAGCAACTTCACCTGCATATTTAATTTAATTCCTGATTATCTTCAGAAAAGTTATTGTTAAAAAAATACATTCTCCATAATTCACGTAAAAAAAAAACTTCAGACTGATTCCCGATAATTTCGTACTTAGTTGCATAATACCCTTACTATATACTTAAAGGAATCGCGGAAGACTGAACATGAATTAGTACTTTGTATATATTTTTTTAATGTTAAGATTAACAAAATTTCTCACCTTGAATTTACGAAATGGCCAAAGATCTGTTCCATTGTTATTCATGACAGCAATCACAAAGGCATATTCTAGGAGAGAACAGAAGACAAATCCAATGCAAGAAAGCATCCAGATATTCAGAGCGACGACGTAAGAGACGGATGGCATCGCACTTTGATACTGTTGCGTAACAATGGTGAGAAGGGATGTCACGGACAAAGTTACCCTAGCTGGATATGCCTCGGCAGGAATCCAGAATGTAACGAAGGACATACATATGATAAGAACGCAAGGAATGTATTTATTGATCAGGAAATACCCCAGGCGCCTTGCGAGGTTTATTTTTCCCGAAACGTAGGAAAATTCTCCTGAAATAAAATATATTTGTACATTAGCAGCGAAATAGGATCATTGGATATATGCGGAAAGGGAAACATTAGGATAACGTATCTAAGTAATAAATATTACAAAAAGAAAAAAACCATATTCATAAGCTAATTGCTTATAAATTAATTTTTATATATATGCTAATTTCATAATTTCTTAATTCAACATTTCTAATAATTTTAGACCGAAAGATTGCAAAAGAGATAAGAATGGATTAAGTTACTTAATTCTGACAAAGCACGCGGGGGATTCTATTTCAAAAAGAATTGCTTCCTGTAGGATTATTAGTGAGAAATTGGTTTATATTTATTGGGGTAGAGAACATTAAAAACCTATGCAGCTAGCATGTTCAGTTCAAGTGAACCGAGCCCTAAATGAATTGTCACCGATCCACAGTCTTACCTAATCAGCCATTTGTGAGCCAATGTAAAACAGAGTTGAGTTTGATCTTATTCATTAAATGAATTTTGGTACCCTATATTTGTTTCCGATATATTTGATTTTATATGACATCACGTCACAAGTATATGCTGTTCTTGCTACGGTATAAAGAACAAAAACATGAGTGAACAAAAGGTCTGAAAATGTTTAAAAGGAATGAAAAGGGGGAATTTATGGCAGTGAAGTGTGATTTGATCTATAAATATTATGAAGGTGTTGGTGTTGGTGTATTTAATTATGGCAAAGCACACTAGGGCTATCTGCCTAAGGGGAGGGATGCCTTTCGTGGAGGACTTTCTAAGGGAAACTGGCTCGTATATACGTTACACATGGGGAAAACCACGAAAACACCCATGCAGCCAGCCCGTTCGCGGGATTCGAACCTCGGACCGAACTACCAGTGTTCAGCGACTTTACCGCTCGGCCGCTGGTGGGCAAATATTATGAAGATGAGAATATTGTTTAAACACAAAAAAATAGCTTGAAAACTCACTAACATATAACCTTAGAAAGATCACTCTGTGTTATAAAACACTGTGTGCTCTATGTTTCTATTCATTTGACTGATTAGTAAAATGGGTATAAAGTAACAGATTTTTTCATGACGGTTTTCTTAGCCAGAAAAATTATTGGTACTGAAGATCTCCTTCGAGAACGAAGAATCAGAATCTTTGAAAAAATTTCGATCGCAGTAAAATTCCTTCACATGTGCTAACTTTGACACAGGAGTTAAAGAAACTGGTCATTTGGAGGATAATTAACAGAACGAAAGATGACACCACACACACACATACACACATGTATATATATATATAACGAATGACACTGTGTTGTGACTTCCTTGTGTCCTGCTTCCTGATAGATTTCTTTTTTGCTCAAATATGGCTGGAAGATTGGCACAGTTAATGAGTAGCATTATTTGACTGTTATGTAAGCAAGTCGCAACGTATTTATTTGAATAAAATTTCGTCTTCTAAAATCATGTTTATGTAGGTTGGGGCATTAACTAGCATTTCCTCTACAAGAAAAAACTTCTGATCAAAGCAGAATTATCATTAATCATTTCAAGATCATTTCTTCATCTTCAGATTTGGTACTAGTTGATTTTTTATGTAGAAAAATATAAAAATTTCAGAGTTTCTTAATGAGATTTTGCGTCGCGAAGAGTGCACAAATAAGTTTTCGTCTATTAAAATTTAGAAGTCAAACAACAAAAATCAGCGTTATATTTTCAAATTTTCACAGGATTAGTTTCGATGGTTTTACCGAACCATCGAAACTAGTCCTGTGAAAATTTGAAAATATAACGCTGATTTTTGTTGTTTGACTTCTAAATTAATATTTGTTCGGCGTGTTATTGTAGCTTAAGTTTTCGTTTATTAGGATTATGACTTCGTAATAACGGGGTTATCCACTGGTCTGAATAGTTCTATAACTTTTGATGGAAAAAATGACGAATATTTGTTGTAATGAAAGAATTAAACCTTCAGTTGCTATTTTTATGTCATTTCCAACGTATTTCGTGTCATCTATTAGCAAGTCTATACAGCAATATAGTTATTTTTTGCTCAAGCTGTAAAGGCATAAATAAAATCAAATGGACATAATACTTCAGTTAATTGCTAATCTGAATTTATTCCTAGCACTATGTTACTGCTAATCTGAATTTACTCCACTATGTTACTGCTTCAGAAGAAAGCAAAATATTCTGAAAGTAAGCATATTTATACCTTGTAGATACTTACCTATATTGTACTTCTTAGTTCCATTCTTACTGGTATTTCCACTAACGTAGTATTGCGCCAAAAGGATATTTTCGGTGATCTGAAATTCTTTCCACACCAAAACGACATTATCTGTCGTATGTTGAACTGTGAGGTATAAAATATTCATCATCATAATGTATTAAGCCAATTTAAATTAAAAGAACAAAAAAAAATCAAATTATGTACCAAGTGCATGCTTAATACTATTTTTAATACTAGCAATTATTTTGCTCTATAATAATCGTGGATACAGAATAATTATTTAATGCAAAATTTTACTTCGAAATTAGCTAAATCAATTCAGACGTGAAAACTTATTGAATGAAATATTGGAAATAAGAAATTTAAAATTATCATTTATTAGGTCATTTGACTGAAATTGTATACAAGGTCTGGAAAATTTAAAAATTATTTAGTGTCATTTTCTGCATAACCGAATCGATAGAATTGTTCTGCATTTAAAATACAGTTAAAACCCACTTTAGCAAACTTGGCATACAACGAATTATATCCCGAGGAATACTGGATATTATGAGTGCTGGATATATGCCGGGGAATGCTGAGAAATGCTGGATATAATGAAAGAAATTCTTAATCCAGTTCAGTTTTCTACACACTTAAAGATATTTAACATGGCTAAGGAACAAACCTGTGAAAATCGCATGTAATAAATTTAATATCTCCGACACTGTTTTTTTTTTTTTGTTTTGTTTTGTTTGTTTATTTTTTACGTTTTCGTAATTTTTTCCTAATGTTTTCTCTTAGTTTTTTTTAGAAAACTACCAATCCGTAAAATCACATATATTTAAGTTATTAGAATACATGTAAATGCTTTTGAGTTATTGTACCTGTTCGTTATTCTTATTTTCCTTTTCGAAGTAGTCCGAACAAAATATATGCAAAGAAAGTGCAACACTCAAATTTTATAAGATTCAATTAATATAACTTTGGTGACGAGAATGCCTTATATCGTTGGACACTAAGTAAGACAAACGTTTAACGAAAGGATCTTCCATTCTGTTTTTTCCAAGTGGAATAAATTTCTTAGTCTTTAACTCTCTTCAGTATATATCAGCGAAAATGTATTGCATCAATGATTAATCAGTATGTCGAGTTGTAAATTAAAGTGTTTTGCTCTGAAGATGAAATATTAGAAAAATTCAGAAGGGATCTAATTAAGGCAATATCTGCCTAGACTGCAATTTATTCAAATTGGCATTAAGTAGAGAAATTGAGATTGGATAATCTTTGTCCATGAAAAGCTCTATAGTCGAGAAAAGTGTCAATAAAAAACGAGGGTAATGCTGCTGAAATGAAGCGCAAATCAAGAAGTCGCATTTTCTTAATATTTGCAAAAACACTTTTTGACAAAAGTCGATGAATTTGACAAACAGTTTGAGGTGGCATTCTTTTTGTTTTTAGATAACTGACTAGTAAGGTGTAAGAAGTAGACAATAATTTTTCAAGAAAAATTGTCGAAGAATCAGATAGTATATCAACATGTAATGTCGAGAATTTGAAAATAAAATGTTAAGAACGATGTCTTTCGTCGTTACTATGATAAATATATTTTCAGCACAAAAGTTTTAGGAGAATTTTATAAGAAAGCAGTTTAACAAGATAAAGCTAACCAAACATTAAAATTTAAATGCGAAAAGAGCACTCATGGAAAACTCTTTAAGTGCAAATCATACTTCCTGTCCGTGTCAGCATAAACGAAAGTGAAAGTTGTAAGTATAGACTAGAAAACCTCAAAAACCAAGATGGTTAAACAGCTTGAAATGCATTTCTCATAAAAGCCAACTTAAGGAATGGGTAACATTGAAACTGTTTCAAGAATAACTGAGTGATACAGCTAGCTCCGAGAACTCATAATGCATTATTTTCGATCCGAACGCAACTTCTAATATGAAGCTCATATTAAGGAGTCATCAGGAGCTTGATTTGACATTTTACGTATTGTGGAAGAGCACAATAAAGTTGTAGATTGTAATTTTTTCTATCTTAATTTAATGTTACTTATTATTAGAAAAATTCTGGCTTTCCACCTAAAATAATCATTCTCAACTATAAACGTGTATTTTAATAGGAGCTATATAATTTAAGGGAAGAGTCTGAACCATGAGGTTTACATTGAGTAGTTGCCGTACATAACTATTACTTTATGATGGAACTGAAAAGTCGAAAAAGATTAAAATTTTTACTTAATAATTTTTAATTAAAATAATATTAACATCTACTAATTATATTAACATTTGTGATAATGCAGATCAGTTTTATTATGATTCATTGGTAAGTTATCAGCTTGAAGAAAAATTATCTCCGTTTTCACATCGGATTGAATACAGCGAGCTGAAACTTAATGTCCTTTAAAATTTCATTATGTTTAGAACGACTGTACTGCGTTTCCAAGAACACTTGAATAAGGCATATAGGTTAACAGATAGCATAAACTGCATAAAGAAAATATTAAAACAGTGTAAAATTGATGAAAGTCATTAATAGCATAACTAATTTTTCATAATTCGTGATCAATAAGTTTAAAAATTATCATATGAATATTTTTATTTAACTTTAAATGCAAAAAACATTATTTACATAAACTTACGGCTCATTATCAAAATTTCGCACTGTTGCACATCATGAGGATATGATGTCAAATCCATTTCACAATCGAGTTTCAAACTTACTCTGAAAATTTAATAGAAAAAAAAATTAATTAATTTGTGTTCTAAAATAATGATTCATCTTAATTTATGATTTTGTGCAGTATTACACGTTTGACATTACAAATCTGATATCTGATATTCAACAGTGTGTTTCAAGTAGAGTCGGCTACAGGTATCCTAGCTAACTATATGAGCCGCACTCCATTCAGATAACTGAAAAACCTGGATAGTTTTGTTATCCCTTTCTTTCGCAACAAAGACATAGTACATTTAACAAATACAAGTGAGAAGATTTTATTTTTCGTTCGTCCCATTTCATTTAAACAAAGATCATAAAATTAAACGAAAGAATGAAATATCTGTATTTTAAGAAAGACGTTGAATTTTTCTTTGAATCTAAAATAATTTATATCTTAGCTCTACACTTATCTGCAACGTTCAGTAAAGTCTGCGCAAGAGTGAGGCACTTGTCTTAGGTGAATTAACTATGAAAAGTTCGCAGTTCATAAAAAGGAAATTATGCTTGTTAACTTTCAGCTTTAACAGCTCACCAGCAAGCATACTTTTAAAACAATACATTTAAGATAATGAAATTGAATATGCTAATAGTCATACAAGTATAATAATCCAAACATTCTTAATTTTCATGCATATTTGTTATTACTTAATACATATTACTTAATTTTAGAAGAGATGCACATTTACTGTTAATTAGCGCATATTACTTAATTTCAGATGCTTCTTTCTCTAAATATTATGCAAAATTTGGAGTCTCCCTATGCTCTTTCTTTCAGTGCTTACGGCAAGAAAACTAAATAATTTCTAGTATTACTATTTTTTAGTATATAAAACTTTATAGTTTTTAATAAATGTTCAGTTTTTCAATTTGCTGAATATATGCTGCATTTAACAGCATTTTCAGCACATAAATTAGAAACTCCTGATTTACAGTAACAAAGCAAAATGTATACACAGATAGAAAAGTACGTTCTATAAAGTAGAATATTATTGAAATCAATGACTTTAAAAAATATATAAATAATATAAGTGCATCTATTTACATGTGTTTTTAATGTGCTACGTTCTTTAGTTAAGTTTTCCTCTCAGAAATGGTATACACTGCAGAAATTTCCTTTATCAGTTTTACCAGAGGCAAAACTTTTAGAAAAGAAAAAAGAAAAAAGTGGTAAAAGAAAAAAGTAGAATCCGGAGTAAATACAGAATTAAAAAATTATGCATTTATAATTTTTAATTATCAAAATTATATTAGTTAATTATGCAGTTACAAGAGCTTTAAAATTCTTTAGCTTTGGCCTTGTGGGCCTAGGCGATAATCAGGAACATTTCCCGAAAATGTTTCAATGATTTTTAGGTTGATATATTTGTAGAAAACTGTCAAAATAAAAGTTAATCTTAACATAGTTTACAGTGGCTACCAAAATTAAATTCTAAGAAATTCAGTAAATGCAGTTATATCAGTAAACTGCAAAGAATAAATATATTTTAACCGGTTAAAACAGATGGATAATTAATTCAAGCTGATATTAGTAGAAACGTTGCAATCAATATAGCGAAGCGCATTTTCTTCATTCTAAACGGTTAAGACTTCCTTTTACAGTTTATAAATACAAAAAGACAAAATGTGCTCAGCATATACATATCTGAAAACATTTTAATTCTTTTCACTAAAATGTGGAGCTATTGTTATATACTATTTATACCAGAATATTTCCATGTATTTATTTCAATGTCTCAGTCAGAAAGTTCCAAGAACAAAGATAAATTTCTTGAGTACAATCATTTATGTGTAGAATGAGAAAAATAATAACTCTCTTTCTGAAATCCAGAATTACTTTCAATTTAATGAACTCTTATGGTAAGGAAATCATTTCAGTTTCAACATTATTTTACATTAATATTTCATCGAATATATCTATGGACATGTCATATTTCAGATTATATTGTAAAATCAGATTATTTTAAATATACTAAGAATTAAATCTAAGAAGAAAAAGAATTCCGTTGTATTAATTCCTGAAATGAAATTAACAGGACTGTTTTTCTCCTGCTCATTTAGCTTCAATAACGGAAAACGAAATGCATAAATGTTTAACGCAAGTATAAGGCGTGGTTCTGGTTAATGAATACAGATTGTTACTATAATACATTAAAACAGCATTAATTTATATGGGAAAACGCATTCTAAGAAAAACGCAAGCATGATCTGCTTCACTCATTCCTACTTAAAATGTATTATTAAATTTGCAAAACCTTTTACCAAATTTACAAACTAAGCTAAATTTTTTCTTACTTTTCTTTCTTACTTATTTTCTTACTTTACTCTTGCACGAGAAAGAATTCTTAATTATTTCTTGTATTATTTTAAGTTTTCGAATTAGATTTCTTTGCTTGCACTTTAGCACTAATCTTTTCTAGGCAGAAGAAATTTTTTGGTAAAAACGTTTTTGTGACTTGCTTTCAAATTTTATTTCTAAATATTCAGCTGAAGTCCAAAACAACGATGGAATTATAACTCTGGCATTGATAAATGTGAGCACTTGAACGTAAAGTATTGAATCAAACAGAGAATGTATATAAAATCAAGTATAAGCTTGATTTTATAGAAATTATCAAAGAATTATTTTATCAAAGAATGGAGCTAGAGTATCGAATTTTGGATGACTATAAAATGTACGTCTTTCCCTATTTTGTTTCACGTATGTGTACTTTAAAAAATATGTAAAGCAAACTGGCAATAGCCCATTTTAATTTGGATAGTTCCCTTTTCTGTCCTGAAAATAGTGACTGCTTATAATATATCTATCTAAACTGCGTCATTTCAAGTTAATCCATATCATATGATCTAACATAACGCTGCTAATGCAGGTACATTTTTGCCAATCAAAAAATAAGATTTCAGTTGCAATCAAACCTGTTTTAAAAGCCATAAACTTTTGACTCTCTCCCAGGCAACCTTTTGAATGCATTGCACTTTTTTTGCTTACTTCCAGCTAACATGTAGCATTTAACTTCTCTTTATAATCGTTCATATTTGATAAGAATAAGATACAAAACTGTGATGAAGAATTGGGTGCAGATTAGGCGCATAATGATGTATGAATCAGAATATTTTTTCTGAAGAATTGCTTAGTCCAGAAATAAAGCGTGTTGAACAATCACAAGGGCCGCGTCTGACTGCAGTTACCCAATTACGCACTCTAAACGCCAGTACAATCTACAGCTATCGGCCATGATTAAAATTATTCGTATCTTCTCTCGCATTCCTAAATTATCATATTTTTATCTATGCAGAGAATATAAGATTTCTGTAGGTTACAAATATACTCACTTATATTAGACCATTTATATAAATTAGCACAAACAGAAATTTTAAATGTCAGTTATTTGTTATCGAATATGCATATTTACTTAAAACCTATTTTACATTATTCACGTACAAAAATTATTTTCGTGAAAGTAATACTAGGCCAGAATTATTAGACTGTGTTATTTTTAAGGCAAAACAACCAGACCGTCAAAAGTTAACTCCAAAACTCTAATGAATTTCTCTTTTGAATCAGAATATCGCTGAAAAATGTTAAATGGTAAGCTCTGAACAAATGAAGAACACCCCAGCGATAAAATTTTCAATTAAATATTAGTCAGATACCTGTGAAGTATATCGCAATTAAAATCTAAAATTTTGGTAGTATGAAAGTAATTGGATATTTGAAACACCAAAATTAATAAGAAGAGGTGCAGATAGAGTTTCAAAAATGCTTTACATGTAGTCAAACTTCATCAGATTAAAAATTTAGAGAAGATCAGGGAGCATTATAAAGAGAAGATATTTTCATGAACAGTAAGTAGGTTCTTACTAATTTTGTCGCCCGAAAATGGAGAGGGGAAAATTACATGAATAATTTAATTATTGAAGAGCTCGGTTATAGTAAAAACACAGCAAATGAAAAGTAGTCATGGATAAACTGCATTTAGCTATCCCAATATTATTTCTTTAAAAGACACTTACATTCCAATAAGAATACATAGTAAAATTAGCCTTACAATATCTAATACTTTCATTTCTACGCCCCTGTATTTTGAATCTCTACCGTTACTGTTGCCTATGCTTCAAATCGAATGAATGGTCAGTGAACTCAGCGAAATCGAAGACTGAATCTCAGTTTGTATTTGCTTCGCTGAAATTCGTCTCTTCTTGTATTAAGCTGGTCTAAAGGTTAACAGCTAAAATGCAAATTTCGGCGTGATCTTCAAAGATAGTTTGCTAGGGTTCCTCTTTGTTAGCAAAACGAAAATATTTACTACGAACTAATTTCGAAATTTAGGAGACCTCGCTCTCTGAACTCACTGAGAAAGGTAAAAATCACGCGAATATTTTTTAATTTTTCAGAAATTGACGATAAAAAGCTAGGGAGATATATACGTGAAAAAATACTATGTTTCCAAAGCAGACAAAACGACATTTGGAATTATGTAAGATAACAGAGGTGGAATGAAAATAAATAGAAAACAATAATTTTTTTTTTCAAGTGAAAGTCGTACATACATCAATGAAGTAGACGGGTAATACGAAATGGAGAATATAAAAAGAAAATTTTCACAAACACTGCATCACATCCTGTGTTAAAAATGTCATTTCTAATTTATGATTTTTGAGTTGGTATCAGTGAGATTTGGTAACTCTGCTTGTACACTTGAATTGAAAATTGTAAAGCTTAAAAACACATTTTGTAGTCTCATTTAGTACAGACTATTTGGTAACCCTGCTTGTACACTTGAATTGAAAAATGTGAAGCTTAAGAATACATTCTGTAGTCTCATTTAGTACAGACTAGTAAGGAACAATTGTCGATCATCCATTTGAGTTACAGAATGAATTTTCTATTTCTCAAGGGCGTAAAAAATCTTAAACAGATATTAAGAGAATATAATATTAATGCCGCTGATACGGATACCTTACATAGAAACTCTGAGATGTTTGCAAACGAAATCCACGAAGTATGCACAACCAAAGGACTGTTTAAACCAGCTATAATTAAGTGCTGCAATAATATTACATCGAAGAAATGTGAAAATTTAATACTTTCAATGTCAAAGCGAGTATCTTGTAGTCTTAAGACCTAAAGATGACGTAACACTATAGTAATTGTAATAGTCTAATATTTCTGCCTTAAAATCTTATAAGTCTAACATCTTTGCCCTGTCACTAATTTAGCAAAATAATTTCTTTTAATTAACATTGTTACTTATTCTAAAATCTAATTGATTTCATTTTACTAGTTGCGTGACTAGGTAGCTCAAGTCTTCTTTCAAAACTCAATGAGTTATCGTATAATTCAGTATGTAATGCATTTGTATATTTTTAATATCGTTTTATATATGTGTATAATTGCTTTAATGTGCTCGATAATTTATGACCACTGTGTATTACATCATTTATATGTTAAAATTAAAGCAAACGAACCTTGAAGCAAAGAACAGATCACTCTTACTGTCAACCACCATATAGCTGTACGGAATTATGATGTCATTCACTTTTCCATCGACTAAATTTTTGAAATATGTATCGGGCGTCCACAAGTGCGTCCGCCATTTGCTGTCAAGGACCAGTCGACTGGTATTGTGAGTGGATGGAATTTTCAACCTGGGATCTTTCCATATTTGATGGAAAAAGATATCAACTCCAAATGCCTAAATATTGGAAGAAAAAATTAAAATAATCACGTTGAAAGTTCTGAATTTTCTACATTACAAGGGAAATAGTGCATTATTTTTTTATTACAGATTCTAAAATATAAGCTCTACATTTAAGGAGAAATAGTGCATAATTTTTCATTACAGATCCTAAAATATATAAAAATTATCATGCTTAGTGAAAACAATAAAGCTGATTTCCTATCTAATTTTGCTCAGATTTTGATGACCCGAACAGTAATCTACCTTGAAAATGTTATTCTTTCAAATTTTTTTTTTTTTTTCCCCAGGAGATGAATTTTATTTCAGTGAAATTTAGACAGCTTTTATAAAAACACTTTACGTAGTTACCTAGTTTTAATTATTATTTATGTTCCCCACAAATGTGGAGAATTTATTTGCTGAAATATACTGTATGTGATATAGGTAAATACTGAATATTATTCATAAATAATATTTGGTTTTAAAAATAACCTACCTACTTCTGCCAGGTTTTATTTTAATAAGTCCATTACTTTATTACTCCAACTTTTCTAAAACATTTACTCTTGTCAGCTTTCACCAGAATGTAATTTAGTTTAAATAGTGAATAAGGTTCTGGTTTCAAAGTTTATGAGAGAGCATGAGTTTCAAAGTTTATTAGAGAGGCTGGCCGTTACCTTATTTCCGATTTTCTGCTATTTCGATTCATATTCTCACAAAAGTTTTGCATCCCATAATATCCTTGTAGGTATAATATCCTTGTAGGTTTTAAAAATAACCTACCTACTTCTGCCAGGTTTTATTTTAATAAGTCCATTACTTTATTACTCCAACTTTTCTAAAACATTTACTCTTGTCAGCTTTCACCAGAATGTAATTTAGTTTAAATAGTGAATAAGGTTCTGGTTTCAAAGTTTATGAGAGAGCATGAGTTTCAAAGTTTATTAGAGAGGCTGGCCGTTACCTTATTTCCGATTTTCTGCTATTTCGATTAATATTCTCACAAAAGTTTTGCATCCCATAATATCCTTGGGAGCTATTAGTCAGAAGGAGCGAATGTTTAGAATAGGCTTTTCTAATATTTTTTTCGATATATTATTTAACTTGAGCATGCGTAAAAACTGTTTATCTACCTGAAAGTTAACAGAGTTTTGTTCCTGTTAATTCTTCATTTTGTATAACAGTCAGGTCGACGTGTTAATAAACAGCTTTAATTTGAATTTTAACTTGATTGTGATAGTTCTAACTAAGAGGTTAGATATTACGCAAAATCGTTTGACAGTCTGCTACGTTTACTAAGTAGGTTAGTTGAAAATTCAAGATTAATAGTTTTAACTAACTGGTATAGTTTAATTATTTTATTATTTTGCTTTCAGCATCTGACTTTTATTTTCTATTTACTCAGACCTCTTTTGATTATGAATTCTTCGATGCATAGCATTATTCAATAGTCTTCCATAACCTCTGATTCAAAGGAATAGAATAAATAATAATTTCGTTGGCCGGAATATGGCTTTCAAGGAAATGAATTGTGAAAAGGCCGAAATTTTGCGAAAAAAAAGAGGAATTTTTATTTTAACGTTTTCACTAATAGAGGATATCGAATGTGGTTCAGGCTTTAAGATTTAAATAAAACATTATTGGTTCAATCTTTTACGATAGAGGGCGTTATAGCATATTTACAAGATAAAAGCAAACTTTATTTTCTCTGCCACTGGTATAATAAAACTAGTATTGAAAACGATTTATTCACACGCAAATAACTCGTTATAAATCACGAAGGTAATTCAGCGTACCTGCGAGCAGAAGAAACTATTCATTATTGTTTCAGTTTCTGATTGAGATCATTACTGTCGAAATGGCATTGCTTTCTCTAAAGATGAAATTTTTAGTTAAATATTACCCTCTTTCAAACCAAGAAAGTTTCTCTCTTTACGATTCCTTTTCTTGTGAACTGCACTCTATTACAATTATTTGTTTAATTTTTATGATTTTGTGTATCAACTGACGATTACCAAAATTTATTTCATCACAGTATTTTAAACTGAAAGCACATTTTCTGCGTCCTTTAATATAAACTTTATTTAATTAGCTAATAATACAATCGGTATTCATGATAAGAGATCAAATGTTTAAATTTCATGAACGTACTGTTACAAAATATAATTTTGTACACAAATGTTCTTGCTTGAAACTTACTCTTCAGCCATGTAGTAATCTGCAGCTGTATTTCCCTTAATCATGTGACGTTAAATTAAGCAAGCAAACTTATCATCCTACTACATTAATCTCTATTTAACAACGTCAGTAAATATTGAAACACGGGATAGTAGGTGCACTATTTATAGATTACAAAGAAACTAAGAAGTGAAGCACCGATTATCCTTGAAAAATATTTCACATTTAATAGTTTAGGTATGAATAATTTATATGAATAATTTATAAGAATTTAAACATATCACTTGAAATATTAAATATTTATTTAGATTAATTTTATCACCCCCACCCTTTTTAGTCAGCGATAATAATATTATCCTATTTCAGTTCAAGTAGCCCATGAGCTTTTAAAAATTATTAGCTTAATAAGGTTAATTTTCGAAATTTTGTAAAATATTATTTTCCTAAACTCTTCAGTCTTTCCTAACAAAGCTATTTGCCACTAAACTTTTGTAAAATTAGAATATATCAGTTATGTCATTTACACTTGAAAGTCTGTTATTGGATGAGGTTTACCTAATATTTGTATCTAATATTTTGTACCTAAATATATTATTAGGTAGAGGGAATTAGCAAGTGCCAGAACATAATTCCATCTTTAATATCTTAAAATTTATAGGAAAAACGTTTTAGGAAATCTGAACTAGACTAATAGACAAGTATTTGTTTTTGTTTCAACGAAAAGAAAGAAAAATAATAAACATTTCCTAATGCAGAATCTCTATTCTTTGCCTTTTTACTGGAGTCCAATTTGCTTCTGAATGTTTCAAATCATGGTCTAGCTGTTCCATTAGCGAAATCACTAAAAAATGCTTAGATGCAAGGGCAAAAACATCCCCTTCATTATTTAAAAAAATTTCTTTTTGTATAATTTTATTGTCGAAAAATATATTTTCCCTCCCAATAAATTCTTCTGATTATTGAAATCGGTTAAGTCATCACTTCTGAATTTAAGAAACAATTTCAAATCAGTAATTAATCCTGCACTGAAAATGGAAAAATGTGTGCTGTACACAGAGTAAACAGTTTCGGAAGTTTCACATGTCACTGAAAAGTCGAGTTAATTGTAAGACGTTTTAAAAGGCTGATTAAAGATATAGTATTTCTTTTTCTGTTATTATGAATTGTAGAATGCAATCCATAATTAATTAAAAATTAAATAAAAATTTTATTTCACTGTTATCACAAAAAATTTAGTGTGCCGTAAATTAGCTATGATTGAAGTATATTTTTATATATATATATTTGCTCCGCGTTTGATTTTTTGGTATCGCTTGTAACTGTTATTTATGTAATACCTTATTTGCTTTTATCCGTTAAGATCTTGTATATTTCTTTAGTATGCAGGCAAATTCCTTACATCATGATGCAACTCAGAAATGTATGCATACAAAAAAAAATAAATAAAAGATATTTAACTCTTTATCTCTGATTTATGTTTGACTATTTTTTTACTAAGAGAATATCTAAGTTTGATAAAATTAAACTCTATTCAGCAACTACAGGGCGTGTTCCCACATTTTTGTAATGATTTTCCAAAGACTTACAAATCTTAGAATTTTAGTTTCTAATATGTTTAGTCTGATAGTCCTTTTGTTGAACTATCATATTACATCTTCATTTCCAAGATAAAAATATTTTTCTTAAAGCATTAAGATTGATTTTATTTCACACCTCCTTTACAATCTTCCAGAGTCCATCCGATGTTTTGGAATGCCGCTTATAAAAAGCTTGTTTTAAATGAGTAAACACTCTCTGTATTAGATAGACATAGCGTATATTTTTATAAGTGGCTTTTATAAAGAAAATTCCAACTAGCAAGTTGTGTCTTACCATACTAGACAATTTTGGAGGCGAAAAAATGTTCTTAATGCTCAAAATGTGCCATGGGAAAAAATTACCAGAATTATACAACTTTTCCTAACTTGAAAACCTCAATATTAGAGTCAGATGAAATTGAATTTCGTGAAAGAAAAATTATCCAATTTTAACATTATTACGAAACGGAATCTTCGAATAAAAGTTTATCTAACATAAAAGGCATCATTAAAATACAATACTTTTTGTTTAATTGTTTTGGTTATGAAAATCATTTCTCTCATTCGCATAGTATTTCCTATAGGCCTACATAAAAATTTAACTTTCGTGTATTTTTACTAAAAGATTAGGCATGAGCAAAGTTGTTATATGTGAAATTTACGTTATTTGTTTCGTTTTTAAAACAGAATCTATGGATACGTGACCAAACATTCAAAACCCATTTCGCAGTGCAATAGTTTTGAAAACCTTGCATTGTTTTTTAATGAAATTCAAACAAACGAAATTCGAAATGCATGCCACAATCAAATAAAATGTGATCCTTTTTTTTTTCAATTCTTTACATTAAATTACCTTAAAATAAATAATACATAATCTTGGTTTCTTTGTGCTTTTTGCAACAAAATCGGATAAATAAAAAAAGAAACTCACCTGTTTCTCTTCATCCACATAATTAATATTTAAGATAGCTATTTTTATATGCACAGTGGCAGGTTCACCTGAAAGAAAAAATGATGAAAAAATATAAAAATATCTTTATCCATGACTTATACTTGATCAAATCAGCAATGGCATCAGCTTCCAAACCATCATAGCAATAACAACGTAATATAATATTGTATGCCTTCTGATCGCTTCATATTTAGTTTTAAAAAAATTCCGTCACAATATCCCTCTTTTTTTTTTTGTTCCAGTATACTATCTCAGTAAACTGGATTTTATAATAATAATTAGACGAATCTTCCAGAGCACCCTTAAACTGGAAATAAAAGTTGCTAGCCTTGAATGGAAACTAAAATGTCTAAAACCGATCTCATATTGGATAGACATACCTTTTACTACCATGAAAAAGTAAAGCCTCAGATAATAATAGAAATCCTAAAGTCCTAAAGAATTTAATTCTTAGCCCTAAAGAATAATATGAAAAAAATAAAGCCTAAAATAGTAATAGAAATCCTCAAGTCCTAAAGAATTTGAGTTAATCCTTAGTCTTAAAAGAATTTCAAATTCCTGTAATATAATAAAATTTCAGAAAAGAATTACTTGAAAAAATGTTTTTTCGGAGACATTAAACTATTTTTATTTTGCTGTAACAAAACATAATTATGCATGTTAAATGGAACGTAAAAGCAAAAAGTGCTCATGTACTAAAGATGAACCTACTTTAGCTTTCGATTTGCACTGTTTGGCACTATTTCAGCTTCTTCAGATGAGGATGCGAAGGAAATGCCACACAATAGATCTTTTTTGTCGTGCACCAATACATTATTCAATCCCCAAGATCTCATTTATAGATATTTTAGAAAGGAAGACAAATGAGAAGACAAAAGAATGCAAGAGACTGGGAACAAAAAAGCTAGTCCCATACATCATCAACAATGAGCACTTACATTTGATTAAACGATGGTTTTCTTTTTTCTATTACAAACATTTTTTTCCCTAATTTTAGTTACTTTGGTTCATTGCAACATTGTTAATTTTTTAATGGATTCTAATTTCGGTGTATTTCAGTTTCACAACTGGGTTATTCAGTTCAATTATTAGAAATGTCTGCCTGAGCTCCCTTCTCAGTTTGATCGACAACATCGCATAGTGTGCGGATGTTGTGCATTTTTCCCTCTACCACCATTCTCTTTAGAGTCCTTTCGAATCGAATGATTTTATGCGCCTCCATCTTGCAAAGACACCGCGATCACAAACTTCTGAGCATTATCTGTGACTTGTGCTTGATCTAATCGGCCATGGGATTAGCTTCCAAATCATACTAATCACAGTATACTAATCACAGCTTAATATAATGTTGTATGCATTCTGATCGCTTTAAAAAAATTCCGTCATAATATCCTCCTTTTTTGTTCCAATATATTACCACAGTAAACTGAATTTTATAATATATTGTTATAAAATTTCATTTGACTATAAAAACCACACGAGGGTTATTTCCTAGGGGGTGGGATGCCTTCGTGAAGGACCTTTCTAAAGGGAAATTGTTTCGTATTTAGGTTACGCATGGGGAAAGCCACAAAACCCAATTGTGCAGGCATCCCGTTTGCCTGGATTAGAAGGACCCATGTCGAAATCCCAGCATTCAGCGGTCTTAACCATCCAGCCATTGGCGGAGAAATTTAATTTTAACAACAGTAGCTTAATTTAGGTTGATCTATCAACAGTGTATTTTAAAAAAAAATCAATATTTTGTGTAAAATCAATTTTGCATTAATCCGAGAGTTCTTTTTTCTCTGGCAATGAGTGAACTAACGTAAAATTTATTTATAAGCATCTTTTTGTTCCCGAGTTAATATTTTCAAGTAATTTTCGAAATTTCAAGTTCTCCAGTTACTATCATCCGAAAGATTTCAGCAGGACTAGGATTTAAGCTTATTTTTATCTACGGCAGGATTGATGTCCAACCGTTCCTGTTTTTGTCTGATAACTTTTTCTGAGCTTTGAGATACATTTGAGTTAATGATTTGTTAGTAATATCAGCTGCCACCAACAATTCGAAACTTATTTGGCACATTACGATAATTAGTATTTGATGATATATTTTCTGACTTCTTTTTTTCACTAGTATGTACAGATATATTTTTTTAGAAGTACAGCATCATCAAAGATGATACATACTACAAAATATTAAGTATTAAATCAATTTAATCTTGAATAAACGCGCGAGAAAACGATATAAATAAATTATCCTTCTTTCCAGAAATGAGACTCTGAAGTCATCTGCGATTCAAAAAACAACGAATTAATTATGAAGTAAAATATTAGAGCAAAATGAAATAAAAGGTTTAATTTTCCTTTTTGTATAGTACATTTTGCTTCTGGCAATTTTCGGTACAAATTGAGTGGAAAAATGATTGCAATGTTACAAGTCTTTTGCACCGTAATGTACATTTATAGAAGCTATTTTCAATATTGTTCTGCTCAAAATCTATTATAACAACCAAATTATGATAAAAATATACGATTAATGCTGTTGTACAAAGTGCGACGGATTAATTACCACTGGAAAAATTAAAAATTTAAAACTGTACAGTTGCCATACATACTCCCATGATCATCGTGCAAATAATTCCCAGTATTTCTTTTTTTTTTTATTTATGAAATAAAATGAGTCACGTAACACTTCTATTAGCTGTTTCAATGACTTTCGATTCAGCCATGGATAACTGTTCTTGTTCTATAAAAATACAAATTGAATTCAAAAATAAATTCCTCAATTCCCATTACCTACAAGTTATTAAGTTATTTTATTAATTTTACTAAGCAAAATTTAATTTAATCAATTTTTAGTTCATACATGTAATTCTAAATTTCTTTCTGTTTAATTAAAACTAAATAGTTGGGGAAAACATAAATTAAAAACAAATATGATTTTAATGTCCATTTCTTTGGAATAAGCAAATTGATATTTAATTTAAAGATTTTATTTCGATACTTGTCAAACATCGTCTTCAAATCCTCAACGCATAAAAAGTATTATTTCTTTGAATATACCCCTCCTCCGCAAACAAAAACGAAAGCTATGCAAAAGGCATCTTACTTCTGCCTTTTAGTAATTATTTCTATGAATTTATTTAAATTTTCTGTATTCAGCTAATTTTTTTGTGCAGTTTTCTTTTTTCTTTTTAATCAATTTAAATTTGATCAATTCATAAAGGAGTTCATAACTCTGCAACGAACAATATCTTATGGTTTAATTATTATTAAGATATACTAGAAATTTATTTTCTAATTCCGTGTATTTTCCATTTTGTTGCTTGACACTTATTTCAGCTTTATAAAAAGGAACTTCCGGCGTTTAGTTTGATTAATTTATAGAACTTCTGTTCAGATGATAATGCTCTAAAACAACTAAGTTTTCTGTCCCCCTTACGTTACAGTCTTAACAATATTCCTTTGTTTTGACTCTTTTTCCAGATGTATTTGTCAGGAATATTTTATTTTATTTTTATTCTTTAGAGGATTTATTTCAAAGAATTTGCTGCGGTTCATAATGCAAAGCTGGCATTTTAGACATTTTTATTTTTCTTAGGTTTTCATTTATTTCTAACTAACTTTTTAACCTTCCCTGAGGAAAAGCTACTCTATTTTATATATATACATCTCTTAACATTTTACCTTACGTAAGTATTCTGTACTTTTTTTTTTGGGGGGGGGGAGTGGCAGCAGATACATACGAAATTTTAAAAACGCTATTATTATACTTTCTTATTCTAAAACTGATATCTTTCGACTTTCAGATTACACAACACGAATCTACAAAAGTTTCTACTCAGCCTCATTTTAGCAACCGTTGATCGTAGACATAGGCTTCTATGACAAAAATATTTTAAATGACGCAAAGATTCGTATTTGGGCATTTTTAAAGAAATCAAATTTTGTAAAATTTACGAAATCCAACTTTTTGCGCATTTTTACGGTCTCCTTTACTTATATTTTGATAATATGTCGTATTCGTTACTTAAGGTAAAACACAAAAAACAATTTGACTATAAACACAAAAGTTGACAAAATTTAACAGACATATTTAATCGGCGATTAAATTTCTCTTAATTTAAATTAATTTCTGTTAATTTAAATATTCTATTAATCAAAATCTGCGATTTTTTTTTTCGCCACATGCAATTTTCATTAAGAAGTCAGTTATTCAATAAATTCGGAAAATTCGAGATTGCTATTTCCCCTTAAATGCAACTCAGTCATGCCTTTTAGTGATTTATTAGAATATTTAATTTATAATTTTGTTATATTTGGTATTCCGAAAACACTTTCCCTCAAGTAATTTATAAGTTTTCAAATTCTAAAAATACGCTATTAATATTTTCATGAAATGTTATTACTTTAGAATCATAATCTGGTAATCGCATAAAAATTCTTTAAACTATTTTAAATTTTTAATTAATGCAAATAATATTACAAGCTGGTTGCTTGCCAATACAGAAGACTGCATGTGTTTTCTAGAACACAAAGTCTATCAGATTCTGTGAAGAAGATCTCCATTTCGAAGTAAAATGTATTGATTATTACTCTTCACAATAATCTGCACAGAAATGCTCTTTACTTAATCTCTTAACATCGAAGCCTTTTTCTAAACTGATATTTTATTTTTAATTATGTACACATGCAAACATTTCGCTTATCAGTTTGTATACGGCCTCTAAATATGATCCGCGATTTTAATTGTGATAAGCGATTTTAACCTCCGCCAGTGGTACAGAAGTCGAACCTATTTCATTTTACACTTTTTTTTATAATAAATAAAAAATTTTCCTAAATACAAGTATAGGAACCTGGGAAACATATAAAAAGTTAGATTTGTTATTTTAGCTGCAAAATTATGTTTTCTAAAATTTGGAAAATACGAAAACATTAATTTAGGGCTTAGACCCAAGTTGTCTGCAGCGTAGATACATTGGACCTACATCAGGAGTTATGGTCAGGCGAGCGAGTTCTTGTGACAGCAGCAGTAGTCTCTCAGTTCCCCACACCTTGACAGCAGCAGCAGTCTCTCATTTTCACACACATTGACATAAAATTTGTATACGAGATGTGCTAGCATTCTTCAGCAATACTGAGG